CCCCCCCCGTTCACGTGTGCGCACCGCAACAACCGCATACGCATGTTTGTTAATCTTACGGTTATCGCTCAACTTTCAGAAAAATACCTTCACCCATTATTATTATTATTATTATTATTATTATTATTTTAATACAACACCATTCACCACGTCCGCGTAGTATTTCACGTTCCGGTAATTATTATTCCGTTTTGTCCTTTTCCCATTCGTCCCCCCCCCCTCCCCGACTCGTTTTCCGCGTGGGGTAGCACACTCCGTACGTCCCGCGCACTCCAACACGCACTTAATATTTTTATTGTCTGTTTCGATTACTGTTCTAGTACCGAGTCCGCCACTATCACGATGAGCGAGAATAAAACTGAAAATCAAATTTCTACGACGTCCTCCAACGGTCACGGAGGTGAGTAATAATTATAGTTTAAAATATATTTCGATTTAATAAAAAAAAAAAAAATTAAAAAAATTTCAAAACAAACCGTGTAGGTATATGCTCAATTTTTAAGTTTATAAATACTTGAATATGTACGAATAATGTAAGACGCAATAAATGGAATAAGCCGCTGAAACGTAATATTTATTTTGTACGCATTATTTAATTAAAAAACAATCTGCACGCGTTTGAAAATAGTTTTATTTAATTTGCTAATTATTGTTCTTGGAAACTTGGAAACGATATAAAGAAGTTAGTGTCGTGTTCCGACTTGCTGGCTACATATTTATCGGACAAAGATTTTAAAAAAGCGGCGGAGTAAGGCTATTTTTAAGCTGTTTGTTTATGTCGAGGTCTAAAGTTCTTTTATCGTTTATTAAATCCGTTGATTGCCGTTTTATCTAATCACACGTATATGTCAATAAAAACCCAGAACCCCATCATTGAATGGTATTTTTTTTTGTTGTGGTTCGTATCACTTGTTATTATATATATATTATTTTAATTATAGATATTGCTATATATCATGTATTATATTATGTTATGTAAGACGGCGGAAAAAATCCTTTGCACTAGCTAGTAAACTCTGTAGAACGCATTCAATTGGGATATTTTGTTATGTTGATTCATTATAAATGAAGGTGTTAACAATAAGCTAGTTATACCAAGGGACTAGGTTAATAATAATACAGGTGTTTCTTGACGGTCTCCATATGATAAGTGCAAGTGCATATTATTCTTGAAACCCGCTTTTGGTTTGTTCTAAGAATCTTGAATTTGGCATATATTTATAAAAATAATCCAATAGTCAAAGTGTGTTTACTAAATATTTCGTACGTGAATTTTATTCTTTCCTAAATTTGAACAAATTAGGTGCCATTAAGATAAAATATAATCAAGAATGTTCGCTTTAATGGGGTTTTTTAAAAAGATTTTGAGCACTCATTGTATATATAGTATGTATGTGTTAAGGTGTTAATCATTTATAATAATAATATTTATTTGATTAATCAAAAAATGTAGGTATTATACCTATCAGATTCGGATGCAAAACAAAAGTATAAAAGATTGTATCTCACTATCGTATATTTTATCATACTGGCGTAAATAGTTACGATGTTATTATGTGGTATTCGTAAGTATATAAATATAGTTTCTTCGATTCATGTATCATTAATTTACCAAAGTTTATAATAACTTTTTAAAATTTTTAGTGTATATTATTTATATTGTATTCTGTACAAGCATGTTATACACGATTTATGTTTTAGAAATCTAGGTTGACCGTGTCTACTAATATATATATACATCTAATATATATATAAAATAATCATCAATTTTTATACAATTCTGTTACATTTTTTTAAATTTATTAAATTCTTAGACTGTTTAAATTTTGAACTAATGTAATATGTTTTATATGAACTGAGTTAAGATATAACTTGATATTTATAAATAGTATTAAGCGGTAACTCAAAATTTTGATTCCATTGAAACTTATTTTTATTCTTAATTTATATAAGACGTAATAAAATTTTTTTAACCATTTTATTAGAGGTTTAAATTTTGTTTATTGTATTACAGTGTCTACAGATTTTAAAATATTACAATTTTTCAATAATTCCTAAAATCAGAAATAATTAAAAAAAATCATTAAAGTATTTATAAATATTACTTCGAGTCAGAAAAAATGTCATCTATAGTCGGTAGTTTTTGTGGTATACTCGAATATTAGCTATTGGCCATTTTGCAGATTAACAAAGTTATTAATTTTATTCTTTCATAAAAAATAAGTTGCACGTTAGGTGAAAATTTACTAATTATTTTTTATTTCATTTGTAGTACTAAAATATGGGCTGTAACATAATTTTTTGATTTATGCATTTGAATTGTTGTATTGTTACTTGAATAATTGTAATTGAGTAAACTTTTCAAATTTTATGCATTTAATATTATACTATAACATTTCTAAATTATTGTACTTGTTACAGAAAGCCTTTAAACTGTAATTTGACTAAAATACCTATTTCACATTTAGGTATTTTCTGAGTATTTTTTGTTAATTGACATAAAAATTCGTCTTGTACCTAACAATATTAATGATTATTGTTTTCAATAAGTGCAGTTTTTATTAAAAATTATTATGCTTTTGCATGATATTTTTGTACGTTGTTTTCTTTAAAAAATTTTAATTGTGTTAGATAACATTTTAGTTGCGGTGTACCTTAAAGTCAATTTGAGGTTGAGTTTTATATTAGGTAGATATCAAAAAAAAGAAAACGATAACGATCTAACGACAATATAGTGTATGGTTGTATACAACCATATACTATAGTAAGGTTAGGTTATAAGTTATTGCAAAGATATCGGAGATATACATGGCTTATATAAAATATACGAGTTTACTATATCTCCAGATACTTGATGAACAAGAAATATTGTTGTGTTGCAGCTGGCGTTTGTAAAATATTTTCTCCTTTCTAAGGGTTTACTTCAGTGACTATTAAGGGTAGAAAATCAGGACCGTGCAGGTAAACAGAACAACTAAATGCAGATGGTTTGTATTTGATATATATACACGAGGTCTTCGCGCCACGTTGCCAAAACTAAACGCACTGTAGTTTCTGAAATATAATATAATACCCTCGTGTATATTATTAACAAAAAAAAAAAAAAATCGACTGACGACCATTTTGATAATATTTTATTTTGATATTATAATATTATGTACAGTGATGTATATATGTTATTTATAAATATCAAGTGTTACGTTGTGTTCTTGGATATTATATTTATTCGCGATGTATTCAATAGTAAAATCTAATTTATATTGTATCATGATGTATGTATTATAACCTTACAGAAAAATAATTCATTTAATTAGTTTAATATAATTAAAGTACCGATGAGTCAGGAAATTGTCAATATCAAAGATTTTCTGCAGTACCTACCTAATACCTAATATTATTTACTGGTAATTGATTTTGTGTTGGTTAATTGCATTTAATTGACACATAAATAAACAATCAGTAAACTAATCTTTAAAGATTAATTAATAAAGAAGTCGTTAAGTGGATATTTACCAATTAGTATTATAGTAGCCCAAAATAATTTATTTCTTTTGTTAATGTTTATTGATACAGTGAAGACGTCTTTGTAAATAATAGATGTCTACGAAATAGACTATAATACTAATAAATATCTACACATCACTTTATATAATATCTTTTTATAATCAATTCATTGATATTTTTAGTTTAGAGATGTGAAAATTATTATTTATGAATTATACTTTTTATTAATCTAATATTAAGGGTCACAATATGTTTGGTTTTATTGTTATCATACTCGTCTGCTTATTATATATAATACTATTTTTATACTCTACGTATTTAAATTATTTGGAATCGCTTATATGTTATGTGCAAGTACTCACAAAATAATCTACCTACCCGCTTAGTTTTGTTATATTTGGTCACATTTTTACTGATCTAAATTTAAAATTATTCAAACGTCATTATTTAAACGAACTGTGTTTCATGTGCATTGTAAATGTATTAACATAATATTGGTTATCCTAAGATGATGTATAGTAAAACTGTGTATTTAATATAATAATTATTTTTGTTGGAGTATTAATACAATTATTATAATAACATTTTTATCTTGTGCAGATTAATATAATTGTAATATTCTGTCGTAAATATGGTCATAGTAAAATATATATTGTTATTAATTATTTAAATTTTCCAAATGTAAATCCTTTAATAAAATAAAATCCCATGGAGGTCATGACCTTGAAACTATAAGTTACAAAAAAAAACTATGATTTCATTTCCCGTTTCGAGTCATAACGTTTTATTTTTTATATTTACCATTTTATTATAGTTTAATGATGTAGCATTTGCACAAGTAAATTTGAGAAATTCCATTTCAAAAAACACGTGCATTATCCTACTTTATACATCGTCTATTCATTGTTCCAGAAACCGGATCCATTCATCGTCAATTCGATATCGAAATGACGCGACTTGTGATTCATCATATTTATCACACATTTTGATATACATATACAGAGTGATTTTTTCAACGTTAAACATTAATTTTTTCGGTTAATATTTTATTCAAAAATATTAATTTCATATTATTCAAAACATTTTTATAAAAATATTATATTACAACTTTTTTTATCATTAATACATTTTATCATTATACATTTTAGAATTTTTTTTTTAATGTTTGAAATTGTAATTTCATTTTAAGTGTAGAATATTTAATAAAAAGTTTTAACCTATAAGGATAAAAAAATCATAATTAATATCTTACGAAAATATGTTAAATACACAATGATTTGTGCATATTTATTTATTGAATATTAGCCTAACCAGTATAGTTGAGATAAAATTAGAGAAATGAGAAATATCCACCAAAAAATCTTTGCATTTCTTATTTCGTCCATCTGAATTGTTCGATAATCAATATTCGATTTATATACATAAACATTTTCAAAAAAAAATATTCAGTTTCAGAATATAAATATTTATTGCTAGTTAAAAAGAAAAAACTTCAAAAATTGTTATGATAAAAATTATTTGGAAAATATATAATTTTTCAATAATGTTGTGTGTTCATTTTCAATAAGGTACCTGAATCATCAATGAACATGAAGTGTTAAAAATAATCAATACTATTATTAAAAAGTCAATTGTTTTAATTTACGATTTGTTTTTCGTATATCACTTAATAGATTTCACCATAGACTTTTATTTACTCGTATAATATTATAACAAATTATCATTGACTATCTGGAGATATATGTATACTATTTTATAACTCACGTGACATTTTTTTTTCCATTATATACTATTGATTTTCTTTCTATATCTCTAAATAAAAAACAACATATGATATTGATTTAATGTATACAGATTAAAAACATGTAGTTTGAAATGATAAATTTACATCCGGTGTAGTTATTGTGTTATTAGTATTAATGTGATATGAACTACTACATTGTAATATAGTACATATATATTATTAATACAGTGTAAATTCTGATAATAAATAACACATGTTAAAAAATATACTATTAACTATATGCAAGTACTTAATCAATAGTATTACCTAATTATTGATTACGTATGTATTCTTAAATGATTTTTACTTATATAAATATAATACTTAAATGATATCAAAAACAATTAATATATTTTAACTAGACTATGGTGAAAACTATTCAAAATTTGATTATCGAAAAATAACATTAGATTTATTAATTATAAAAAATATTTAAGTTATTGTACAGTTTAAAAACCCAACAATTTGCCTTTTTTTTAATATAAACGGATGCAAGTCCTAAAATATAACATTAAAAATATTTTGAGTGGAAAATAACAAACATAATACAGTAAATAAGTTATTATTACTTAAAAATAGATTGTATATAATGAGAAGAACTTATAAATAGTATTATAGAATATAAATTAAAAAAAATAAGAATCTATTAAATATAATCAAAGTAATATATTACCTGCAACCATTAGAAGGTTAGGTGGGGATTTAAACATGTAACTTATATATGCAGATAATTAATAAAAAAGTTTAGAATCTCTAGTATTAAGGCTATTAAATTTAAAGTAGATAAAAGAAAGTATTTCATGACAATCAATTGAACTTAATAACAGTTTTTGAAGAAATTTAGTTCGTAAAAGTATGCGACGATCAAGAGCAAAGAAATATGAAAAAAATCTAAATAATTATTATAAGAGCCATGCAAGGATATCTATAATATATATATATATATATATTATCTATAATATAACATCCTGAATGTTATTAAGAATATAATTTTGGATGGTATATGTTATTAAAAATATAATTTTATGAGTAAATCGTTGTAGACAATTAAGCTAACAGTTTTAATTCAATTTCGCAATCAAAAATGTCTAAATGGGTGCTAATTCTTTAGGAAGTCTTAACCGATTTTTATGCAATATTATATAATATTGTTAACATTTTATTTAAGGTTCTATTAAAGTTGTATCTATACACTAATTGTAATGTTTTATCAAGCTAATAAATATTATATAATACTCTAACACGTTTTGGAAATATATCCAAAAAAGGTCAAGTTATAATGAGGGTTTAGATTTAGAAACTATGAGAATATATGAAATTATGAAAATACTATGAAAATATGTCAAATTATGAATTTTCGATGTACGCATATTCTATAAAACGGCATAGCTTACATCTTACATGTACCTATGACCTATATACTTATATAATATGTCTATAAAGCAACTATATATGTTGATCTTTAATGTTAATAGATTTAACCTTATCTCATAACAATTTATCTTAATATTTACTTATATTAATATAATTTAATTTTGTGAAGTTATCAAGAAATTATTGCTCTTATTCTTTGTTTTAGAATAAATAGTAGTATCGAAACTCTAATTACCTTTATAAAATATAGCAATAATTTGAACTACTTAATGATTGAACGTATTTAAAGTAGCAAGAATGTAATTTAATTATTATAATAATTTTATTTATTAGTATATTATATGTTTTAATCATAGCATAAAATTGATTTTCAAGCAATTTTTTTAAGTCTCGTGTTATAAAATAATTAAATACCACTATTAAAAAAGATATATTTTAATATTCCTAAATTCCATCTAAAATTTTTGACTTATTAGGTTCCTAATATAATAATATGTTAAATAAATTAACTTAAATATATTATTATAATAATTTGGAATAATAAAATATTTTTATTAATAATTTAGTTCATTCGAAAGATGAGGAAGGAAAAACTAAAGCTATCCTTCTAAAAGATTCCGCCGAAACAATTAAAATGCGCAGTAATAATGGTAATGATAGTCACTCATCAAGTGATGCAGAAAATCGAGAATTGCCGGAAGGTGTTCGTAGAGGTGTTTGTAAATGGTTTAACTCAAAAAAAGGTTTCGGATTTGTCACTCCAGACGATGGTGGTAAAGATGTTTTTGTTCATCAGGTAAAATAAAAAATTATATCATGTTAATTTTGCGTTGATTTAAATTATTATTTGGTTTTTTTTTTTTTTTTATAGAGAGTTATTAAAAAAGATGGATTTAGATCCCTTAGAGAAAATGAGCATGTAGAGTTTGCGTGTCATGAATCAGACAAAGGCCTAGAGGCTACACTGGTTACTGGACCGGGTGGTCAATATTGTAAAGGATCAAAAAAAGCATATCCTACAAAAAGACTGAGGTATAATTGTTTAATAACACTATAAAAAATAATGAAATTATGTATTTGCAATTGCTTATTTTTTTATCAGATGCTATAACTGTGGAGATTTCGCCAATCATATAGCTGCCAAATGTACAATGGGTCCCATGCCCAAACGCTGTCATAGTTGTAAGGCTCAAGACCATCTTATAGCTGATTGTCCTAAACTTTTCCTCAAAGAAACTAATAATAAGTCTCCCAAAAATCCACGAAAAAAATCTGAACGATCAAAATCTAGACCAAAATCCAAAACTGAAGAAGATATTGTAGGTGAACAGTCTACTGATTTACCCAAACAAAATGGAGATGACAATAATGAAAAACAAGAAAAAAATATTTGAATACAAAATCGACTGCTAAAACATAATTTATATTAATAATTAATTTAATTGCATGGAGATAAATTAATAATTTTTTAATCATTGGAGTTTTATAATATTCCTTAAAAAAAGACTTTATTTACCATTTTGTAAACTATATTTTTTTCTAATTTAAATTTTAATGTTGATGGAATTTCAACAAATTAAATTATTTTAATCATGTCAATTGTATTTACTGAAATTATTGCTTCTGGTGAACAATTTATCATCATTTTCATTGAGGCATCTCGATTTTGTGTGATTCTTTCTGTTCCTTACTTACAACTTCTAATCCATTATCCTTATGTTCATCACCAAAACAAATGAAGATCCCGCATAAAAAAATGCATATAGCACTTAGAATCATAACGCAAATCGCAGACAAAGGTAATTTATATGGTGTAATAATAAAAAAATTGGTTTTCCCTGAAAAAAAAATTAAAATTATTGATAATATATAATTTGTTTGTATGTAAATATATACATTATGTCTTATTTTAAAAGCAGAAATAATACATGATTCATAAAATAATTGTTGACTTAAGAAAAACAGGGTATTTCTATGGAATAATTTGACTTTTATAGAATATTATATTAAAATAATCAACAAAAGTTAATTATTTTACTCTTCCTACCTAAAATCTACATTTTATGGAATTATTATAAAATGAAATAAAGAACAATAATTTTTTTGCTTATTTTCATTTAGTTTGAAATATATTCATATTGTTTTCTAGTTATGCACAACCATATCGTAATTCGATATTTATATCAGACCAATTTTATAGATATCTATTCGACTAATTTATCGACAGTACTTCGATATCGATATAAATTCGTTATAATATCTAATTTTTATTATATAAAAACTTACAATTCCAAAAAAAATGTGTCAATTAATTTTGTACTTAGTAATTTATTGTTTTTAGTTTTTTAAATTATATCGACATGTAATTTTATGATATCGATATCATTTGTTTTTTCGAGATCATGATCATAGGCGCAACTAGGGTAAAAAATCTGGCGGGCTACAGCCCTCTTACCAAAACTTAAAATACCCTGTAGATTACTCCTACTCTTATATACCATGTTAATATATTTTAGATTCTGAGCCAAGTTGGATTTACTGCATTGTGTGTTTTTCTGTTTGTGACACTATTGTGAGTCAAGAGGGTGGTTTCAGGTCCGAACCCCCTCCATTCAAATTTCTACATACTCAACGGTTTAATAGTAAATAGTATAATAATAGTATATAGTGTATTTTTATTTCCTATTATCTTCAATATACAAAGTTTATAGATTATATAATGTACCTATAATGTATAAACTATATTATAGTATATTAAAATAATTTTTTGATATTGAGTTAAACATATCAAGTCGTATCGGCCACATAGTGTTCTTAGTCCATCGTGTGATTTATCCATGAAGACCAAATCGTCTGCATAAGCCAATAATGCCACGGAGGATCTTTGTAGTGACATCCCCTTCTGGGGTCCGATTTTAGTTTCCCTAATAACAGATTAAAGAGCACAGGTGACATAGAATCCCGCTGTCTTATGCCTGAATTCACAATTATTGGGTTGGTTTCCGCTTTCCTTACTCTTATTTTAATGAACTTTTCCTTAATATATGTTTCGATTAACTTTATTAATTTTTGTGGGAAGTTATACTTTCTAAGAATATTTATCAAGATTTTGCGATATATACTATCGTATACCTTCTTGAAGTCGATAAAGAACACGTACATTTCCTTGTCGAATTCTGAATTTCTAAATTATGAATTTATCTCAAATGCTTAGATTTTAATATGTAGTGTCCAAGAATCCATTTCATACAGCAATGTAAAAAAAAAATGTAGCAGTTCAACATTCTAGTTCTTAAACCTAATGATAGATCTATGTTTAAAAAAAAAATTTCTTAGTTTAAAGAATGTAGGTCTCGCAATTTCAATTTGATATCTCCCTTCATATCTTTTTCAGATCTCTCTTCCGTTAGCCCCATAATTGTTAATTTATGTTCCAAGATACTTGTATGAATAAACTTTTTGTATTATGACATTGTTGATAGATAATTTAATTTCAATATTAGGGAAGGACCGTTTTGTCTTTTGTTATTATCATGAATTTAGTTTTTTTAACCATTCATCTCAAGACTATATTTACTGATTATATATTTATATTTATTTATTGTCCATGTTTCTTTGGAGATTGTCTATGGTAAGTACCAGAATAAAGATCACCGTTATATCTCAATTTTTTAACAAATTTCCTATTTTTTTTTTATGTCAGTATGTTCGCGGAGGATGGCTTTTTCAAAAGTTGCTTCGCTGTATATATTGAATAATAAAGGAGTTAAAATACAACATTGTCTGACTCCGTGTTTGATTTTTATTTCGTCTGATTACCAATAGTCCACTTCAGCTTTAGCATTTTAATTTCAATAAATATTTGAAATTATTCTTATATTATAACTGTCAATATTCTTTTCCTTTTGTATCTTTATTAGCTTATCATATTTATGTTATCTATTGCTTTGGTAAAGTATATGAAACAAACAAATATATTCCTGTTGACATCTAAGCACCTTTGCATAATAGTATTTATTCCAAAAAGTACTTTTCTAGTCTCTATTCTTTGTTTGAAACCAAATTGTGTCACACTTATTTTATTTTCTAATTTAAAACTTATTCTTTAACGTATAATTTTTAAAAATAATTTCAAGGTATGACTCATTAAAGTTATAGCCTGAATATTCTTCGAGGTTATTTTTATTAGACAATAAAATAAATAAAATAAAATAAAATAAAATAAATAAAGGTTAACCATTCTTCTAGAATCTTTCCTGATTCGTAAATTGTATTGAATAAATTAACTACGAGTAACATATCTACAAAACATATAACATATCATCGTCAAACAATTGTAAGAGTTCGGAGGAGATTTCTTCAGGGCCTGCTGCTTTCCTAGGCTTAGCATTCTTCGATATACTCGATACTTCTTTTTTCATTATATCAAATCTTTTATCCATACTAATAAATACTAACTGGTCCTGGTATATTCTAAAAAAAAGTTCTTGTATATATTCCATCCATCTTCTAATCTTTCTTGTAGTATCTAATAATTTAGTATTATCATTTTTTCTTTGCATACCTACTAGTAGGATAAATAAAGCTTTATTTTTCCTTTATTTACTTTATTTTATTTTTAATACCAGTAATATATTTTATTTTTTTGTAAAGCTATTATGAATCCTGTCCAGCATTTCAATTTCTTGACATTTTTCAACATTGAATTTCTCCTTGGTTTTCCTTATTTTCTTCTAATTGCTACATTAACTTCTTTATATTTTTATTTACATATTTTTAAATTTACACCTTTGTTTCTTTATGTACTGCGACAACACTATATCGATTTATTAGTTCATTGTTAATCAAGTAATTTATTTTGTGTTCACCATTTTTTATTATAAAATTACCTGCTTCTTTTGAATATGTATCACATAATCCACAAATGTTGACTTTCATTCTCTCATTCGTTCAAAATCTTCTCCAACTTTACATCTTCAACTAAACTTCTCACGTTGCAAGTTAAAATTTTCAGAGCCGAGACGTAGATTCTTATCACCCTATTAACCATGTATGCCGATGCCTGAGTGCTATGATTATAGTTTTCTCTGTTATGAAAATGTATATTTGAATGATATAATATGATGGTTTTACGTTGCCTTTCGTATCGAAGTGATGACACTTAATTAAGTTTCGCTCTTATTAATTCATATCTAAGCCTTTTTAACATAAGTTTCCCCGTTAGAATGATACCAATATAACTACATACTTTGTATTATAGCTCGGGAACCTCAGGGTTTCTATGTCCGCAACACAATATGTTTCCCTAAGAGAATACACCTATTAAATTCTTTAATTAATTAAAATAATTTCATAAAAATAAACATAGAGGTTTTAAAGGAAGAGATATTCGATGGAAAAGAGAGAAACTCAGCAGTTGTGTATAAGCATGTTAGTAAATAGAAAATTACCGTATTCATTTTGAGTTAGCTATTTGCTCTTATTATTACACAATGGTGATAGATAAATCGACAACTTTTACTACAAAAAAGTTTAAATTGACAACTTTGATAAAAAAAAAATTATTTCAGTAAACATTTTATGATGATAAGTATTTTTGACATTTTATTTTATTTGTACTTTTATCATTGGAAAAAAAAAAAATTTTCCTAGGAAATTAAAATTAGTTTAAAATAGTTTTCTATAAAATGCTCAAAATTAAATTTAAAAATATTTAAAATAACTTATATACCAACTAAAAATCTAATTATATTTAAATAATAAAAATGTGAACATGGTTATTTATTTTATTATAACTAACAGTAATATTTAGATAAGGTGGTGTATGGAATTTGGTTAGCTCCTTTACTACTCTAAAATTATTTTTTAAAAAATCTATGGAATTATATTTAATTTAAAAAAGATTCCATATATAAGTACAGTGAGTTGTAGATGACTGAATGCTATTAAAATCAGATACAACAAAGAACTAAATTATAAATACACCTAAGCTATAATTTTTAATCTAGCCTATTTCTTGGTAGAATAAAAAGCAAATAATTTATGGTTTCTATAAATATATTTAACTTCTTTTTTTAACTACTCGTAATAAATGAGTATGCTTACATGTTTCAGTTGTTCCGTTGGTTTTTAACCAACTAGTCAAATTGGTTTGTTGAAATTCACATATTCCTGCATTTTCATTTCGCAAGTAAAATCTGTTGAAAATTTTAGATTTATGAAAAGTAATTTATTAAATAATAATTATAACTATAATATGAAGAGTATAAGAAAAAAATTTTTTAAAATAAATGCGAATTTTAAATATATACCTTAAGTGAATAAATAATATATTGGTTATTTTATGATTAGAATTAGTCGATAAATTCTCAGTTGAGTAATAAAATAAACATATAATATATAAATGCTTAATTACTTATGTATATTAAAAATTATTTTAATAAGCTAATTACTTAGTATTTTTAAATACTCTTCATAAAATATTAATTTCAAATTACGTGGCGCATTGGCATAAAGAGCTAGTTAAATTGCAAAACAATGCGACATCTTGACATTCTAGGTCATCCTTACAACTTGTGTTGAATTTGTCAATCATTGTGTTATTTAACTGGCCTGTTTAAAAAATTTAATTAAAAATGATATTCGTAATGCAAAATAAATTATATTTATAAAGAAGAAATATTTATTTAAGTCTTATAATTACCATTAAAAAGTTCTTTAAAAGTAATAATCACTCTGTTAAAAAAAATGTCGAACAAAATAGTAGTATTTTCATCCATGGTCAATACCTCGTAAAACAAACTTCAAACGTGCGTGCTGAGCGCTGAACACGAATTAAACCTAACTGTTATACTGTAGTATTATTCCGAGTAATAATTTTAATCAAACATTAATTTACATAATTAAAATAAGATCCAAGATATAAAAAAACAAGCATGCAACACCAAATAACATTAATTAATCATTAGTTATTAAACGACTCAGTTTTAACTAAGTAAGCAAGTAACTGTAGAGTAAAATAGTAGTATAAAAAAAGTGACGCGTATTATATTATGGATGTAGAGTAATTTGCGTAATCTAAAGAATTTAATAAAATCATAGAAGAAGTGGTCTCGAACGTACATATCTATTCTGAATATTTCAAATTGTCTGTTAATATTATACTAGCAACTGTAGATTACTTTTATGTTATGTTGGTACAAATACCTGTACAATTTATTTAAATTAAATTCAAATAGTGAAATTAGATATTTATGTAGGTTAATAATTTTTCACACTATACAATTCGAATAATAATTGTTATGGTTATTTTATAGCTCTCGCCTGTCACTTGTTTTATTATGAAACAGATTATTGTACTTATGTATAGATTTACATTTTACAACAAAACGATTGTACTTCATGAGTAAGTACTCGTATTTTAATTATATTTTAATCTTGATGATTCTCTTACGTTAGGTTAAATAAAAGGGTATTTTATTTAAAGTAAACAGAGTCCCTTTTTTTTAATTTTACTAAGTCAAGCACTGCACATAGCAAACAAAACCAGATTCTTGAATGACTGTTTCCGACTTCTCCTAACTTCCAAGCACATAAAACTCCCCAATAAATTACCGCAGTACAAACTCATCCTAAGACCCATTTTGACATATGAAATTCAACTTTAGGGCACTGCCAAAATATCTAACATCAACCGTATCCAAATATTCCAATCCAAAACCTTATATACTATACATACTATTACTAAGTCTCCATTCTATGTCACTAACTACACTTATCACTATAATTTTAATGTACCATACGTTTCAGAAATAGCAAAATCTCACTAAAAACGTTTTAAAAGCCATCTAGTTTATCATAAAAATCCTCTAATATCTGAATTATCATCATCCACCATTCCTGGCAATCCAAAAAAAAAAAATACTAAAAAGGCAGTGGTGTCTTGACCGGCTAACCTAGATAAAATTGTGTTCATGCCATAGTACCTCCAATGGGATGCCTCTACAATCTAAATTGTAACAGATCGAATAGAAAGAAACTATTAAAAAAACAAAAAAAGTTAAATTTTGATAGTTTTGTAAATATTTGCGCTGTGTTGGATTTAAACTCTTAAGATTCTAAGAGGAATATTGATAATAACTAGGGCTTGAAACTTGATGACCTAAAAATCTTTGAAAAATATACACAATAAAAATGTTAAAATTACTTATAAACAACGAAAAATGACTATATAATAATCAATAACTTAATATTTTTAAAAATGTACATTTTATTAAATACATGTATCATAAATCGTAATTATTAATTATTATTAATTTAAATTTTATTCATTATATATGTCTTTATTACTTAAACAATTTAAATTTAATTTACTTAAATATTTTTAAACAATACACGTATTACATGAACATGTTACGTTGAACAATTAAAGTGTGTTTAATATTTTCAAATAATAAAGATCGGTGATTATCCCGTTTTGTAGATTGAAAAACTTCTATCGACTTCTACAGATGTAATTGGCGCATGTTTGAAAAAAGCGATATAATCTACATTAAAATCATCTGGCAATCTTTCTTTTGTTACTTCTTGTCCTTATATTTTTTAAATAATCTGCATTGCTTTATAATCGCTATTTTTTTCTAAAACAGTTTTAAATTTGTGTTGAATTTCGCACCCAACTATACTTCGCGTTAATTTTATTTTTTTCTTCTTCTACTACTGCTATAGAATCGGCATGACATATCCAAAATTTGATTTAATATAAACTAAATTTAATTTTAAATCTGGAACGGCGATCAAATTAATTACTTTTTCAATGGAACTCGCATCATTTTTGTCCAGTTTCATGATTATATTTTTAGTTATATCAAAATGTTCACAATAATAAAGGGTTGCCGTTGACTATGTTTCCCACCAAGTTAGCACAGGTTGTGGAGGTAATAGAATATTAGGTGCATGCTCTTTAAAAATTTGTATTCTTGAAGGAGCCTTCAAAAATATTTTTTTACAGTTTAAAATAAGCTGATTGACTTTTGGGAAATTTTTTTGATTCCTTCCATCACTCTATGTAAGGTATGAGCCAAGCATGTTACATGTTCTATCTTCGAATAATATACCTTAATGGCTTTACTTTCTTTGACTATATAAGGTGCAGCATCATTTTATAAAAGCAGTATTTTATCGTGTTTAATACCATTACGACAAATAATTTGAAGGGATCTATCGAATAGTTTTAATATTTTACTATGATTAACCTTTTCTAAGACATCTGTATTTATTAGAAAATGTTTCCCGGAGCCATTCAACTCACAACAAAATTCACTACATAGCACCCTTCAATGTCCGTACTTTTATCTATAGTTACCCAAATTTGTTTTTTTCTACGTAAGATCTAATTTTCTCAATAGTGTTTATGTAGCATTGAAAAAATATATCCTTCAAGTTCCGGGTCTAAATAATAACCATTTGGGCATTTAAAAGCTAAATTTTATAGATCAGTAGTAAGATCAGTTAAAATATATAGCATATAAGAAATGATAAGCAGTAGACAATAAAATTAAACCTATATGAATGATGAGTGTACAAAAATGAGAATTCTATAGAATATTATAATATCTAAAGTGACTCTAGAAAAATATACAATAATATAAAAATTAATATAGAACAAGGGTGTATCGGGAAATTAGGGAATGTCAGAATGAGTTGATCTTAATGAAGAGTACATTATTCATATTTTAACCATATATTTACTGTGTGTAAAATTGCAATTTGTAATCAAAATAGGTTTTTAGCTGTTTTTATTTATATTTTTCTATAAGTAAGAAGTTTTCTTAAATAATGGATAGTGGTTTACTACTTTTTTATAATTTATGTCGTTTTTATGTATTAAAATAAGGTAGGTATTTTATTAATAAACTATATTTTTAAGAATATAAATCTAATAATTCAAATATTAAATGGATTTATCGAATAATAATAATAAAAAAAAATTATATTAGTATAATTGTTAAGAATATTAAATTTACTATTCATTAAATAGATATTTATAAATCACAATTAAATTGATAACTATTCGTTTAAAACGATGCAATATGTGAATTATTATTATTATTTCTTGTATTATTGAATCATTCTGAAATTTAATATTGCAATATAATTGTGATTATTTAAACTATATTTGGTATATAACATAAGTAATAAACTATCAATATTGATCCATTATAATGATTTGCAACGAATAGGTATTATTATATTTGATAAAACTCAGTGCTAATCAAATTGAATATTACGATTGTAAAACTTAATTGAATCGGTTATTTCAAAAAGGCTATAACTCTATAAAATGAAAAATGTAAAAGGAAACGTAAAAAACTGTTTTTAGAGATCAAAATTAAATTCAGATAAAAATTGAAAAATGGTTGAATTATTTAATTTCCTCATTAAAAACCAACTATTATATGGCGGTCTCGCAGGTAATGTGAATTATTATTAGTTAAACCAGTGACGTATATAGGGGTGCCTAGTGGGCTACAGCCCCCCCTCGAAATGTTTCAAAAAACTTAAAAATTATTTTAAACGTTTGTTATATTTTAATGGTGCTCTATCCTTATTTAGAAATAATTTTATAAAAAAAAAATAGAAAAATAATTTTAAACTGGTTGAATTTATTTTATTCAATTGCACTTCAATAGTTCATTAAAATATTTTAAGGTTCTCAATTTATGGTTCAATGTTTATTATTAAGAGTTAATTATATAATAAATAAATAAATAAATAATTGTATAATACTAGAATATTTTATTCATACCATATTTTATTATAGAAGTAGTCTAGTAGGCATATATATATTAGTCAAGTACCAGATCATACATCCTTTGTTCATAATTACAGGATTATACTTACTATAGGAAATACGTAAATAATGTGATCAGTTGAGACAATTGTTATTGCCTTTGTCAAATGGTTTTGGGACATTCTGTAAATGAAATGTAGATAAGTACCTATTGTGTCTTGTTAGTAATTCTTAGATAGCAGTGGCAATTTAACTCTGTCCATAATAGTCCCTCCCAAAAATATTTTCTGTATACGTCGCTGAGTTAAATGCATCTATCACATAAAAATAGTTTTAAAAATGTGTGGAGAAATGGCCTATTGGAAATGACCGATTCAATTGATAAGAGCTATGCAGCAATAACCAATGCTTAATAGGGGTACCTAAATACAAATAAGGTATACGGTGTGTCGGTAAATCGGTAAATCGTATGACGAGTATGACTGATATGTATGCAAACAAAGGTGGTGCTACACGATACATCAAATACCTTCAAACGCTGGCCAAACGATTGTTCACCACACCATGCAACGGTAATCCATATGTCGAATGACAAATGTTTGTGTACAACATTTTGGCATCGCAACGATTAAGTGGTTTTTCTAGATTTACGCCAAAGAAGTAATCAAAGTTGAAAGCAAGTTGTAACTATCATTAGGTATAAGACTACACGATGTGACGTGTTTAGTCTTGTATCCAATCTTGAATTTACGTTCTCTACTTTTGATTAAAAATTGTAACTAAAAATAAAATATAACATTAAAATGTAAGTGATTTTTCATAAGAAAAGAGCATGACTTTTATGGGTAAATTTATTTTATAGTTTTAAGTATTTAGTTAGGTATCGGTGTAAATGCAAGTAAACATTATTAACGAATAATGAAATAATTAAAAATTTAATTAAAATTAAAATTTATTAAATAGTTAATATTTTATTTATTTTTAAATATAAACTATATGTTTTTTATTTATATATTAATTACCAACGAATAATACATACATTTATAATAAATCTTTAACAAATTCAATTTTGAAGCTATTAACCGCTCATTTTTGAACAATTATCTGGAACATGATTACTTTTGAAACCATCTAAAATGTCATAAAATGGAGCAAACGGACGACCACAACCACATTTACAATGAGGATCAGCATAATCAATATACACCCCAATATAACCTGCTGCATTTTCCTTGAAAAATTTTCCCTGAAATTGTGCATATTTCATTAATCATATAAAAAGTCAAATTGCATTAATATGTATAAATCATTACTTTTTGGTAAAACGATAATGTATTGTCTACACAAAAATTACATGCTTCACCTGGATGGGTACAAATCTATAAATATATAAGATAAACATCACTTGGTTAATGATTATACGGCTAATGTATAAATATTTTATTTGTACACGGAAAAACTCATTCGAAATTTTATACGTTATATATTATAAGCTATGAAAACAAGAAGATATGAAAATCTATATATTTAAGAGTAACATAACAATTGCGATATCTATAATTCTATAATTCTCTGTGTTAAAAACAAAAGTATTTTAATAATTGCTATTGATAAGTGTCTATAGTTCGTGTGTAGCACTTTCAAAAAAGGTGGAGGCTAATCAATATAGAATTATACGTTATAACTTTTAACCTGTTGATATGTTGTATTCCATGGCTTAAATAATGATTCCTCATTTTTGGGAAATAAATTAGTAGAGAAATACAATTTTTCTTTTGGTAAGCTATGTTTCTCTAATACTTGTTGTAGTTTAGTCTAGAAAAAATCAATGCATTTAAATATTTAATCCAATGTTTATTACAAATCATAATATATATGTTACGGTAAAAGATGAATATTGGTGAATGTCGTCATTCTCCGATAAATGACGTCTTTTACCAAAATGATTCGATTATGTAGGTAAATGATGTAAAAAACCAGATTTTAAATTCAAATGTACATCTTTCACCGGTCATTGATGTCATTTACCAAAACTAGTGGTAAATGATGATAAATCTCAAATAATACACTGATTTTTTTACTATAGGTACTATTTATAATAATGATTTATTGTTAAAATAAAAAAAATAATAAAATAATAAAATACGTGCATATTACAAATTATTTATTTATACAATTTTAGTTACTATGACATTTTGAATTGCACAACATTTCCGTTGCATTGCAAGCACATTTTTTAGTACCACAACCAGTTTTGCAGTTGCATCGATTAAATCCTTGATGACCAGCTATTCCATGTCCTGCTGCTTCTCTTAATGTTATTTCCTTGTCTTTAATTTTTTTCATGGCTTCATCTAGCTCTAGAAATTTTTCTTTACATGGAGAAATTTGTGCTCGTGTATATTTGTGTTTCAACACCCCGTATTCTGTACCTGGTTCAAACATTCGGGTATTTATTTTATTTAAATTTAATAAATATTTCAGTTTCCAAGTTTATTTCATTTTCAAAATCTCCAACACTGACTAAATCATCTTCTACTGCATTAATATAATCTGAATAGTTGTTGTTATTAAAAAGTTCTTCAATATCTTCTTCTGACTTAAGTTTTTCTATTTCATCGTAAGGTATCCCTGCTGAAGCTAACCCCATTCTCGCTGTACAACCAAACATCGCCTCGTATGGTGATCTTCCAATACCTATTATAAACATGTTTAAATTTAAAAAAAATTAATTCATTAATTAAAATTAAAATTATTTAAAAAAAATTGTTTTTAGTGAATAGCTTACCTGAGTTCAAAGCCCGATTTTTTTTTTGAAATTGCACAAATGTTAATGCCATTGGCCAGTCTTTTGATTTATTATCAGCCATCAAAGAAGCCGAAATTTCTTCAACGTCCTTATTCGCGAGTTCAATTGATCCTTGGGTCTGGCTATGACGAGGCTTGCCATGCACAATTTTGATGTCTCCCCATATTTCATTTAAATTTGTTATAATATAATTAACAAACTCACGACCATTATCCGAGTGGAGTATAGCGGGTGCACCAAATATTGTATAAATATCTATCAGATTTAAAGCGATTTCTTCGGCCCTTTTTGTCTTCAAAGGTTTTAAAATAACAAATGTCGTTAAATGATTTTGATAATTCATTATATATCGATAATTATTATAATTTTGAGATTGCATGTCAATCAAATCAATTTGCGCTCTTGAATTAAATGCGGTATGTATAATTGGTTTTGTCACAAGCCCTCTTTTCGGATTTGATTGTTTTACTTGACAATTACTGCATAAACCTAAATATGCCATAACTGCCTCCGTTGTCACATTACAATATTTTGTTTTTAACTCAGCCATCATCCTATTTCTACCACCGTGCCCTACTGTTAAATGTGCGGTGTGAATTACTTCAAACAACTCGTCTACTGTGACGTAATATAAAACGTCAGATTCATTATCAACTATAGGCTTAATCAATTTTTCTTTTCCCCCAATTGACACAACATCATATTTACGTATAAGTCTGTTATTCGTTACCGTTTTTTTTAGTGTTCCAATTATTAATTTTTTTATTTTTTGAATCTTGATGTTGTATTCTTCAGAACTAAAATAAAATATATTGTCACCTCTCTTTTTAGTGCTGACAATTTTGTCAATTGCTGCTTTAAATTTGTTCTGCATACTTCAATATTAAAATTGAATAAAACTTTAACACTATAATTTAATCTAACTTTTATTATATTTCGTTCACTGGTGACACAAATTTTTACAAATAATATTATAAAACACACATTCGTAGCAAATACAACTCGCTATAATATACCCGTCGATACTAACTAATAAACTAAAAGATTATTTCATATTATTACTCGGGTTATCGACGTTATTGCTAGTTGGGATTTTCGTTTATAAAAGTATTAAACATCACTCTCCAATTAAATTGGTGATTGACGACAATAACCGGAGAATGTCTGCATTTACAACGTTTACCAATTTTTAGGTAAATGATGTCATGGCGTCTTTTACCATGTTTACATCATTCACCATAACATATATATAATATATATTTAAATACCAATGTCTAATTTCCTTTTCCATCTACTGGAGTAATGCTGTCGACTCTCGATTTAAACGAACATTTATTCAAACGGAGTATACTAATTGAAATGAAATCCACTACTGTACTTAAAACTTTGATGTCCAACCCTTAAAAAATTAAACGAAAATAAAAAAAATAATTTTCTGTAAAATGAGAATCATTATACAAATTATTGTTTAATACGTGTAAGCCGATCATTAATAATACAGTATATAAAAGCACGTTATTCTTCATTGTATTTTAGAGCGCGTAAATAAATGATAATTCAACTCTCACACTCAATTTTCGGATTTGCATAGTAGTCCATTAGGGTATTTCCAAAAAAGCTCATGCCAATTTCCAAGTCCGGAAATGTGTCCCTCATTATTTTAATGTATATCATTAGTTTTTCAGTAAATTTAGGAAATTTTTTTGATTTTTCCTACAAAAAAAATGTGTTATGTTCATTAAAGTTAAATTAAAATCAGTAATTAATAGTTTTTCACCATTAAAGTCATCAAGAAATAAGTTTATTTTTCTTTCGATAGTATTATGTTACAGATATACTTGTATGTAAATGAAAACTAAAAACTATTCATACAAATTATATTAAATTATTTGCATGAATTTGAAAAAGAGATTACATTTTTGTATAATCCGTAAACAAATATACTTAGTTGATATTTGTTTTAAATCGAAATCACATTATCAGAAACAAATTAACTTGTCACTTGATACATGTTATTGTGTTTCTGTTACTGATGGATACTTAATATTAATTGACTCTGTAATCCCTAAGACTAATTTGTTTCAATCATTCACAACTTGATACCTAACATTTATCAAGTATTAGTCAATGATTTTATGAAATAAACAATATGCAATACGTTTTTTCATTAATAATCAACTTAGCAATGTTATTTAGGAATTTTAAAAACGGATTTATATCTATATCTAAATAATATGTGTTATATATTTAAATACGATAAGAGGAACGTTAATTCCTTTGATAGACCGCTTCAATAAATGTATTAATATTAGTAAAGGTCTTTACATTTTAAAATTCAGTAGTGCTTATTCTTTAAAAATGATTTACAGACTGTTTAATTTTAAAAATATAAAAATAAAAATACTATTATAATATTATAATAGTACACGTATAAATTATTACAAATAGAAACTTACATCTAACTGAAGATAAGAAAGAATTAATCCTTTGATTCCCGGATGAGCTTTCATATAAGCCTTTAACCCTTTCATTGACTCACGAATGGATGCTTCTCAATTACAATCGGCACACCCGAGGACGTAAGTCCAAATTTCCATAGTTATATAACCATAATACACGTACACGGGTTTATTACTTTTTAAAAGTAGATCCAATTCGTTTCCTATGTAAAATAAAAAAAAAAGATATTATAAAAATTTAAAACTATTTATATTAAAAATTATGATTAGTTCCTACAGAATCTCTTGAATGTTAACGGTAAAAATTGATCAATCATTTCTACCGACCCATTATCATTTGTACCATTGAACAAATATATTAAATATATTAATCAATGTTTGTACGTTTAATTACCCTTTGATTTATTCTTGAATCCGTAATTGACATTGTTTCTAACATCTGCTAACAACCCGTTCCAAATAAAAGATGTGCACGCTTCTGGTAAGTTATCAACTGGTAATATTGATCCATTGCTTGAACCATAATAAATACACGCCGATATTCCAAGACCTATAAAAATAAAAATTAATTGAACCAAGTTTATGTTGGTTTTAAGTTCCGTGGCTTGATTTAATAGCAATTTATTATAAATTTTTATAATTAGCAGAAATAGTTTTAGTTAAATATTGTCTCGAAAACTAAAAGCATACATTATTCTAAACATTTAAATTTGGAAAAACGTATTTTTATCTCAAATCTACTTAAATTAGAGACTGACTTTTTTGTTGTGATTTTTCATTTGGTATTGAAAGGCAAGTTGATGTTAAAAGTAAAACAAGGATTAATGTTCTAATAACGGCAAATTGTACAGCATTCATTTTAATTTATTAGATGAAATACGTATAAAACCAGATAATTGTAAATCTATTCAATGTCTTGTATAAACTAATATGTATACACTCCGGGTTCACAATTTTAAAATAAACTAGTATAACCAGATTTTTGTTTATTGTAATATTATCGTTTTGACATTAGAAATTATTTATCTGATTGCAATGTTTATACATGTTTTACATCTGCTGTACACTTAAACATGCATATCGCGTAATGTACATACATAGGTAATGTTTATTAATGAAGGGCAGGTAATTATTTGTTTTTATTTTCTCAATAGAACGTTTTAAATTAGGTATTTTTTTAATAAATATTAAAATATTATATATTTATTTTATGGAAAGAGTCTAAAAATTGGTTTCCACTCAAACATACTGTGAAAGCCACAAGGCCTATTTTTTTTCAAAACAATAAGTAAAGTACCTATAAGAAAAACCAAGGCTCTACACCCGAATAATTTTTTCGGGTTTCGGGTGTTGAATATATTCGGGTGTTCAAACACCGCAATACAACATTTAAACAAACGTTTGGATGTTAATAACGTTATTATTTGGGTTAATATTGGTTAATACGGGTGTTAAGTAGTCAAGAAAAAATATTATTTTATATTGGTGGAGAGTAATCGGGAAGCTGAGTCCCCTTTCTCCACTTAAGAAATATTTATATTTTTGTTACCTGCCTATGTAATAAAATATCAATTTCTTATACAATTGTGCAACAGTTTTTTAGACCAAACTATCATTATGTTAATTTCAAGCAATGGTGTAACTACAATTTATTTTTGAGGAATAGGGGGTTATTTTATATGTGTATGAAGCTTATAAATTATAATATCTATTAAAATTAAATAAATTAAATAAAAATACTAACTGTTCGCGTGCTTATCAAATTAATATATGCCATCCGTGCTGTCGGACTTTGGAAGGTGCGACCACACCATTCCACGCTCATGGCGGCGATTGCGTCTGTTCCAATCTTTCCACCCGTCCTCGTTGTCCATTACTCGTATGTGAATTATACCATTTAAATGTATATGGTGATTCAATTATTTATTATGATTTCGTGCAATTATTATCATTTATACATTATATAATTATAATTATTTTTGTCTTGTCGGTCGCGATATCGGGCCGTCCCCTTTTTTTCTTGTTGCCGTTCGTTCGTCGGTCGCGTTTGTTGTACCACGGTCTTTTTTATTATTTTGTCGTTCGTCGTTCAGTCGCTATTGAAGCACCAGTAAATTATTATTAGTTATTTTTTCTTGTTGTTCGCCATTACGGTAACAAACATCATTATTATTATACATATTTTTTAATATATTAAAATTACTTTTTACCTTATTAGTATATGCCATTACGACAACATATATAATTTACCACAACGTGTTCCAAATAAATTATTTAATTACTAACACCAAACCGTTTTGTGAATTATTGTCTACTTGACGCATCCATGTTTTCTTGAACCACCTACGCAAATTAACTGTGAATTTCTTGTCATTGTCCAGTCAAGTTTGCGTTTCATCCGTCATTTGTGAGGTTTTCCGTTCCTGTCGGCCATTTATTCGTTCTACCATCTTCGTGCCAGTATTTTCCGTGTTGTAAGTCTTAGTTGTAGGTTGTGGCCTGATTGTTTAAATTTAGTATTTGTCCGATTTGTGTGCGAGCTCTGTGGTCATTGCACCACACCGATTCGACCACAGAGACCTCCCCCCTTTAATAACTTAACTCTATTTCCTGATTTCCCGTGCATAATTAAATTGATTCTATATGTAATAATACCCGTATAGGTTGTTTAATTTAATTAATTAATAATTTCTGTTTAGAATACCTATTCCAAAAATGTTTAAGATAAGGCACCTAATTATTTTTTTGTTTAAATTGTTGATTAAAAATGTCAAATTGTCAAACTTCGTAAATTGCTTTGTTGAAATAAATAATTGCGCACAGTGGTATCTATAGGTGTAATAAGCAAATAGTGCTCAGCCACCCCCCTACAAATTTCACCAAATTTCCGCTTATGATTTGTGATGTGTGCACACACTAAAAACGCACTAGCTAGGACAGCGTAATACAAAAATATTAATAATTTGTACTCGTGAATGTTACGATGAAATTATTACACCGACAAAAATTGACCATTCACGCCATAGACACGTGTACTGCACGCCATACATTGAACAAATACGAATAACGCGAACAACAATTTAGGTAATCATACGCGAGACATCAGTTCTATTTCAGACTTACAGTATTGCAATAAATAACGACTCAGTGATTCGTAGAAGACCTATTACCTATTAAATTATAATAATACGATGTATCCGCTTGGGATAATTTTAAAAATAGTATCCCAGTTGTTTACACTTGAACATTCAACATACCATACCATTTGTGCACACCTGACAATATGGTATATTGTCTTTAGACAAATTTAGATTAATTAACAATTTTGTATATTATTTATGAAATTATTCCTATGAATAATAAATTTACTATTAAACAACTAATGACAAAATTGAAATAACCACAAAAATACATACAAAATGATATGTCACGTAAGCATGGGCGGATAGGTACTTTTTTTTTACCGGGATATATTTATTGGGGCCTCATATAACTAGGGCCTATATATTGTACTATATATAAAAAAAAATCCTCGCTTCGCTCGCAATACTTTTTACAATCAAATCATATTATATATTATGTACTACACAATAAATTTAAAAAAAAATATAGTTATTAAAATTATAACAAATTTTTAAATGTACTATTCCTAGCAGCTAATTTATTGATCACATCATTTGAACCAATTGTACTAAGTAAATCTTTTTCAACATTCATTAGCATGAAACTTTCTAAAATGTCTTGGCCCAATGTATTTCTCAAGTAGTTTTTTATATATTTCAATTTAGAAAAACTCCTTTCACATCCTACTTGTGTTACGGATAATGTCAGCATTAGTTTATACGCAACAGACTGGGATATGCATTTGTGTATAAGTTGTATTTCACAAGCACATCAAAGCAACAAACTACACAATATTTTGCATTCGTGTTTGGATTATGACTACACGATACTAAAATTTCAACATCATTTGAACATTCTAAAAAAACAAAATTAAAATTAAAATGATATCATCAATATTAAATAGGTAGGTAAATTAATACATTTATAAATAGTAGTTATTTTTGTTATTACCATCAATATTTTCATCATAGTCTTGTAGTTCAGTATATACACAGTCAATATTTTTTTTTATTTCTTTCCATTTTGATATGAAGTTTATATATTCATTTCGAAAGTCTTCGTACATAATTCCTGGACAATAATTGCAAATCTTGTCAAACACACCAATAAGAGCATTTTTTGGAAGTGTTACATCTGGTTTGAAATTAGGGTCAAGACATGCAAAATTAGATTTTTTTTTATAAAAGTTGGTAACATTTATTTGACTCAGCCGAAACACTTGAAAATGTAATAGAAGATCTGGCATAAGTTTATCTAAGAGTGATTCAAAAATTATTCAAATGCATAGGCACAATTTTTTTATAAGCAGTTGAAGTTCAAAAATCGACAAAATTTGTCGAAATCACGAATATTTGAAAATTATTTTGTAGTTGAAAATGTATAAAAATCTTTGTATTAAAAGTTAAGAAATGAAAATTTAGTACAAGATTGTTCATAATTTTTGCTTACAATAATTATAAAAAATATCGCGATCGGTTCAATTAAAAAATTTTAACGAGCGTCTGAAACTATACATTTTACTACATAGGTATATTACTTCATTTGAATTTTGAATATTATTATATCATTACAATTACTTTAACTAGGATATTAAAATAAAATATATTACAATTTAAGGCTGACATCTTCGACTTTGTTCAGAATCTTTTTTTTTTTTATAATATAAAATAATTCCAAAATCTATCCTATAATGCCTAATCTATCAATTCATCTCGTTTAACCCACCCAACTCCTGTGTCCTGTGCTTTTTTTTTCTTAGTTTTTATCAGAGAATAAAAATATGCATAAGATGTTTCAAAATGATTGAATAATATTGATTATTTAATAATATCTTTTATTGTATTAAGTAAAATAGGTAACAATATTGTAAATAAATTTGGTACCGGTATTATATATACCTGCCTACTATTAGGTTTATGTTAAATATATTTTGAACCTACAAAAATATTGTAAAACAAAGAACAATGTAATTTGTATAACTACAAAATGAAACAAAAAGTGTACACATTTACGAAGAATATAGTTCCTATAGGCTTAATGCTCCTAATTTAAAATTTAATTATATGACCATTAACCATATATTAGTAAAGCTGATATTACTTACCGGTACTTTTTGCTAAATAAAAATTTAACTTTTTTTGAGTTTTATTGTTGGCACATTTAATTAACAAATGTTGATCCATTCTTTTTCTTTTTGAAGCTCCACTTTCAAATTTTCGTTTAGACATTATTGTAGTATAATTTATATTATTTAATAAATTAAAACACAATTAACAAAAATTTAAAAGCCACGACTACAATTGAAAGCCAAAAAGTAAAATAAAAATAACACTTGATAAAATGAATAATCGGTTTATAACATAGGGCATACTGGCATAGAGTAAGAATAAAACAGTTATATGATATTATTATCAACATCCACATTGAATATTGATAATCATTGTTTAAAAATAGAACAAGTCAAATTTATTAAGATACAATATATTTATATAAACGTAAATACCAGATACGTCATAAGTAGTTATAGTTATCACTCATGGAAAATGTAATTTATATTTATATATACTTATAATACCTATTGATTATTATTTATTATTATGGTTGTTTATTTTTGTCATATTTTGAACAACGAACATATTTATTTATATTTACAATTTATACATTATTTAGTTTTAGTAGCATGATAGTAAATACAACAAAATAGGTAGTAGGTACCTATTATACATTTATACGGGTATCAACGCGTATTATACAGAGGCCCCTAATAGCAAATTGAATATGGTATAAACAAAAATTACAAGTACGCAGCCGCCTGCCGGTATTATTTTACAGTCTCATAAAAATTAATTTTTTTTTTCGGGGTTGGGGCCTCTGAGCATAATATTGATGGGGGCCTACCGGGAAAATCCCGATTTCCCGATAGGCCTATCCGCCCATGCACGTAAGGATTGTAAAATAAAAAATTATTTGAGGTTCGGGTTAAAACCAATATTTTATTCGGGTTACATGGGTTTTGGGTGTTTGATTTTTTAAGGGTTTTCAGGGGTGTTACGGATTCGGGTTAATTCGAGTGCAAAGCCCTGGTTGCCACTGTTCTAGAATTCGATTGATAACTATTAATAATGATAACCACCTGGTTTGTGCTGGATACAGGATTTTATGAGGTGAGACATTGCAAAACTCCTAAAATTCTTTGTATTGGCAGATACGTTTGCTACTTGATTAAACTAGGTATCACTTAAATAAAATGTAAATATTAAACAAATTTTATTTTATTATTATTATTATGTTAAATAAATATAATTAAATATGTTTAGTCAAATGATTTTTAATTATTTTATGTATATATTTTTGAGATATCTTTTTTAATCTATAATCAACAAATTTTTTATCACGTTTAGAGAATTTTTTCTGTTTTTAGAGTATTAATATTACAGCCCTACTTTTAAGCGTTTGAAAATGAAATTTTAATGAAATCCGATGTTTCAAAGAATATCAATTATATGATATAAATTATCACTAAAACATAACAGGTGTAGGGAATATAGAAAATCGAGACGAGTAAAGGTTTATGATAAGGGAGGCCAACCCCAAATAGTTGAGAGAAAGGCAAAGGAGAAGTTATCACTAAAGTCCGGATCTTTTAAATCAAATTGTATGAATTATTTAAATTATTGAACTTGATGAACTAAAGAATAGTTCATTTGAACTATTAATTTCAGTGGACTGTGAACTTATGAACTTTTTCTTAAATTTAACTCTTCTTTAAATAACACAGAATATAATTATAAAAGCACAATCGTCGTCCAATTTGTTGTAATCTGTTTTCATGTTATCACGCCATACCACCACCGCGAACCAAATTATCTGAACATATGACCTTGAATATATTCTGTGGTACTGCTGTCAATGGGCCTCGGTGACGACAATTAGTCCATGAAATAACTTTAACCAGAGGATAGTTAAAAATAAAATCATTTAAAACAGTAAAATTTATGAATCGGAACACAGTTTTTTTAAATTATTATTTATAGATATGCATTCCCTATGCAATTATATATAAATATGCAAAAACAAAAATTATCCATAAGATTCTATACAGCACGAGACTTTGACATTTGTAATAGAAATTATTCTTAAGGTGCGTTTATATTAGAGCCCGAACACGAACGAACTAATGTAAACGGTGAGGCCGAACGCGAACGAACGCATTCGTTCGCGTTCGCCCCAAGAGCGGTACGATCAAAGAAACTCTCCGTTTAGTTTAAACGGCATTCGGCCCGTACCGCTTTGTCGATACTAAATGTGTAATTAGTAGGTATTTAGGAGTGAAGATTTTTGTAGAAGCGAAGACAGTCGAACACGAACGAGCGAACAATGTAAACGGTCGCGGCCAAATTTCTAGCAAATATGCGTTCGTATTCGTTCAGGAGCATTCGCTTGCGTTCGTTCGTGTTCGGACTCTAATGTAAACGCACCTAAAGTGAATTGTAGAACATGCATTTGTATAAAAATCCGTGCCCTAGTTATCACATTGTTATTCTATAAATATTATTTGAATGAACTACTGAGTACTTTTATTGAATCTTTTACGTCATATTTCATAATTCCGAAATATTTTAATACAATTTGTGCTATTCATAGGCAATAATATATTTTCTATTTTTCACAAATTGTAATCAATTTAAGTTTTAAGTTATATAACACTTAGATATAATAACATTTTTTTGTACTAAAATTACTTTTTTTTTTTTTTGCAAAAGTTAGAATATAAAAAGTTAATTCTAACTTCTTAAAAAAATAATAATGATAATTATAATAATATATTAATTAATTATAAATAAAAATATCACACCATATAACATATTCCCACAATGCCATTAAAAAAAAAAAAAGTATTTAGTAATTTGTTATTTATTATTTCTGCATAAATATAATAATATTGAAATAATTTCAACAAATTTATCATTTAAAAATAATTTTTTTATGGTAACACAATTTTCAATTATTATTTTTAAATTCGTCTTGTATGCCACATTTTAAATTCATTGGCACAGCAACATCTGAAAGTAAAAATTAATTTCTTTAAAATATACCATGAAATAATAGACATATTTAAATAGTAAATGTATTAATTACTAACCAATTCTTTTAGGATATGCTAAATTTAAATTGTTCATAATTTCAATAAATTCATCCAATGATTTTGTAAGACGTGGATTATAAGCCTTTTCTTCTCCAACTGTAGTAACAGTTTGACCTAAAATAAAAATATATGTAGGTATACTATGCTTACTAAACTTTAATTGTATGTAATTAAGAATGCTAAAAATTAACATAATCAAGAATTGTTAAAAGCATTATTTTTAAATAATTTAAAATTAATAAAAAAAATATAGATGCTAAAAAAAATTAAGAGTTGATATAAATAAAATAAACCAGAAAATGAAAATATTAGCATGGAATAATTTATAAAATATAAATTTTGCACTTGATATAATCTTAGACCTAAAGGAAAACAAATCATTTTTTTCAGTAAAATGTCTACTAATTTTAAATTAAGTATGAAAAAAATTAAAAAAGATTAAAATAAGAAATAAATGAACTATAACTTCCTAATATATAAAATAACATAAAAATTACTCATACAAACTATGTTAATAGGTTTGATAGATTTAACTATAGTATCCAAAATAAAATAAATTTTTATAAAATCTTCAAATATAAGTTTATTTGAACATGTAGTCTAAATATCAGTAAATGAGTAAATATATTTATTTAAATACATATATATATATACGTATAATTTATTATATTATATTATATATTAAAATATTAATCAAAATACAATTTGACAAATATTGTACTGATATTGGATATACTAAATTATTTATAAATTTTTAATTTTAAAAATAATAATTAAAAAAAATAAATATTTTTAATTATTACTATTAATCATCATCATCATCATCAGCTTGTCAGCCCATTAAGAGCCATCACTGTCATCATATAACCTCTCCATTTCTCCCTATCATATTATTAATAATTGTACTAAATATATACAGGTTAAGAAAAATATACATAAGAACACACCTGTGTAATCATGTGCAGGATATATTTTATAATAATCAGGTAATGAAAATATTTGTTCATGAACAGAAGAATATAATGTTTTGGCATCTCCTTCTTGAAAGTCAGTACGTCCACAAGCACCAATCATTAAACAATCTCCTGTGAGTGCTATTGCTTCATCATGACAAACAAATGTAACACAACCTATAAATAATAAAATAATATATGTTGTTTAAGTACAAAGTATATGAAATACTAAGTACGTAAGTATAAATAATATATAATTAAAAATTGATTAAAATATCAAAAACAAGAAATTATACATTAACCTTCAATCAAAATAGTTTAATAATGATTTTAGAACATTTGACTGAAATAAAAGTAGAAATGATTTTTGTTTAGGTTTCATAATGTTATTTTATAAAATAAATTGATTAAGTGTTCATATTGTATTTATATACCATAAAAAATATATAAATTGATTTACTACACTATCTATGTTATAATTAATTAATTTGATTGCTGTTTGTGATAATAGACAAAAATGTTATTTAAACTTTTTTATTTTTATAGTGTACAGTTATTTTATGACAATCTGTTATGACGTTTATGAGCAGCCATAAGTTAGACTATTTAAAACAATATATTTCAGTATAATAAATGTATTATTAATTTAAATAAAAATCATCTATTATAAATAAATAAAAATACAAATAAAAGAGGGTAATTTTTTTCATTTACTCAGAACCACACAAAATTAATTAAATTTTTTATTTTCATGTCTTAAATATGTTATCTTTGATATTGACCTATTCCATTTTATTTGTGTATATTAATTTACAAGACAATCATTTTTACCATTTGTATGCCCTGGAGTTTGTCTAACTTCAACTGAGTAACGACCAAACTGTATTTCATCTCCAGATTTAACATAGACATCAGCTTTAGCACCGCTACTCAAAGAAATAATACTTTCACATGTTGGTAGTAGTTTTTTTAATTCACCAGTACCCGTAATGTGATCAGCATGTACATGTGTATTAGCTAAAATGAAATTACATATGTATCATAATAATGTTTTAACATTAAATTACCAAATGTCCTTAAGAAAATAAAAATTACTTACCGCAGTATAAAAGATTCAAGCCCAATCGTTTAAGAATCGAATGATCACGTTCCACTTGTTCAATGACAGGATCAATAATGATTGCTTCTTTTGCAACATAATCAGCTAACAGGTACGTATATGTTGAAGATTCTTTATCAAACAACTGTATAAAATTAAACGTATAATAAGAATTTATAGGATGAATTATTAAAAATTAAAATAACCTGTCGAAACAAGAATGAATCTTGAGCAAATCTACAGTCATTCATCACTGTTGTTTTTGAAAATCCACTGAGTAAGTTTCCACTAGAAGTGCGCTGTCTAAGAGGTCGGCATAAAGAAGTAGCTGCTATCATAATTCCATCAAAGAAATTTAATTTCTGTAAAATAAATAATTATAGTGTTAGTGACCAGTGATAAAGAATAATCAAATTATGATACATAGGCCAAGGACGAATTTTATCATAATTTACTAATACACATGTATTCAAAATTTAATGTCCTCTGCGGCTTATTCCTTTCAACTGAAATATAATATTTACTTACTTTATTATTTAAATGGCAGATTATTCCATTACGTTGTACCAAATTAAATTGACACTTTAAATTCCACAGCCATTTATTCAATTTAATTGGTTATCGATAAACAGTTATGAAGCTATAATTGTTATAAACATAATTTATACTTATATTATTAATTAAATTTTTAATTTATACCCATAAATACAACTGAAAATCCTGCTTCTTCCGTAGACGGGTAAAAATTGAAGTAGGTAATATGGTGATGTTTCAACATGAACCTAAGAAAAATTTTAACTTAATCTCTCATTATCATCAGTGTACACCCATGATCTTAGGGCACGAATGCATGGTCTATCCATAGATAATAATTGTATGTATGATTTTGTTTAATATGATAAATAGTGATAAGATATTTAAATTTTATCAATACATATTTCAATCATAGACATAAGTTCCAATAAAGTCGGTTCTGCGTAAATGATATTTTTATTCGTATTCATAACTTCAAATTAAAATGATAAGTTATTAAAAATGTTATTTGTATTGTTATTTGAGTTGAAAAAATCTTATACTCCGTAAGTTATAAAGGTAAGTTAAGTAATCTTAGTTTTTAAATGTTTGATAAATTTTAATTTATTTGTAAGTATTTCGGACCTATAAAAGTATATTAGTATTACTTTTTAACTCAAAATATGATGTACTGTTATAAAATATAACCCTTTCAGAGTGTTCATAGTCTGTATTTGTTGTTGTTTTTAAGTATGCATTAAAAATACATTAAATATTTTCTACTTATAAAATTAAATCATTATTTTTTTTCAAGGAATTTATAATTTATTATCATGGAATCTATTTCAACATCAGTTGCACCAAATATTTCAAACTCCGATGATGGTAACTATAAATACATAGATGATGTGTGCGTTTATACAGATCCCAATACTAAAAAAGAATATACTTGGAATAAGGAAAAAAAGAAATGGATTGAAAAAGGCTTTGAAAATTATGAGTATGATGAAATTCGTAAAACATACAAATATGTTGATAAACAAACAAGTATGTATCATTACATTAGGAGTAAATAGCTAATTATAAACATTTACAGTAGATGCCACTTATAAGACTCACTTTAGGACCTGCATAAAGTGAGTCTTATAACCAAATGAATTTTATAGATTAAGTGAAAAAAGAATATAAACAAAAATCTGAATATAATTACTAACTTTATTTTTAACCAATTTAGATTTATTTATGACTAAATAATTAATTTCAATATTTATTCATAAATTTTGAGATTTAATAATTTACTATTTTCACTTTATTAAGTTTATTTTATCATGTATTTGTTAATCATAATCAGATTTTAATATTCATAGTTATAAAAAATGGTGTAGTCATGATTTTTAAATGGCAGGGACTAAACACTTTTGGGTAAGTTAGGTAAAAAATGTTTTGAGAATTAACCTATAACCTCCACACCACCAAATTAAAAAATGTATTTCCATTATTTTAAAATAGTTTTAATACAATTTATTAAAATATTAAAATATTATAATTAATAATAATAACCCTCTCCCCCTTGGATTTGCCACTGGTTATTATAAACATACTGTGAAGTTTATGTTTCAAAATAAAAACAGTATACCAACAGTTTAATATTGTAGTTTTGAAAGTAGTAATTTAATTGTATATTATGAAATATTCATAACTAAATTATTATTATTGTTAATTTAGATATTTCCTACTTATGGGATTTAAAGTTAAATAAATGGGAAGTTGAAGTTAAGGAATCAATAAGTTTGGTGGAAGAAAAAACTGAGGATGATAGTTATGATGGTGAAGAATTTGATGACGATGATGAGAAAAAGAAAATTCAACGTACAGTCAAACGACAAGACATGAGTAAAGGAAAGTATGGACATGATGGATTAACCCAAACATATACTGATCCAGCTGATGGAACTGTATATATTTGGGATAGAGAAAAAAATGCTTGGTTTCCTAAGGTAAATTATTAATATATGTTTTCTTAAAATAATAACTTGTGTACAATAATATATTTGTCTGTTTTTTTAATCTTTAATAAATATTACATTAGAGATGCATTGTGGTTTTGTAAAAAAAATTGTGAAAATGTTGCAGTTGATTTTATATATTATATTTTTAGATTGATGATGATTTTTTGGCCCATTACCAACTTAGCTATGGATTTAATTCATATGATAATAATACTGTAAGTGTGAATAACACTAGTGCAGATTCATTAAATGCAAGTGAAACAAAAAGTATTGAAAATCAACCAGAGTCTGATTTACATACACCTATTGAAACATCTGAAATAGAGAAAAGAAAATACCCTCAACCTTCTGAACCAGGTATTTATAAATATACTGTCTAATAATGTACACTTTATAACTCCTTTAAATTATTTATAGATTGGTTTGAAATTGATGAAGAACATAACACAAAAGTATATGTGTCAAATTTGCCATTAGATATAACTGAACAAGAATTTATTGATTTAATGCAAAAGTGTGGACTTATCATGAAAGATATTGACAATGGCCAAATGAAAATTAAACTCTACACAGAACGAGGAACTGATTTTCTTAAAGGAGATGGTCTATGTACCTATATCAAGGTATTATTATTAACATTTTATTTTTTGATAAATTCATTACATTTAAAGCAATTGAATTCTGTTAATTTTAATATAAATGTATAAACCAGATAGTTATTAACATTTTTATTTTTATTACCAAAATAATTAGGCAATAAATAATATTCGTTTACAGGCTAGATACATAAGTTGGATAAGCCATTCAGGTTAAAACTTGTACTCTATTGCTTCATTATATCAGGTCCATAATGACCAATTTCCTCTATTTGTCTCTATCCATGACTAGCTCTTTACCATTCAGAATTCCTATCATAGCTAGGTTCTTATAAATTCTGACTTTCCACTTTTTCTTGGACGGCTGAGTGGTTTTTTGATCTTCTGTATCCAGTTGGTAATTTGACTGATTTTCTGTTATCAACCTCACTATACACGTCTTACTTCTATTCTTTTATTTTGAATTTTAGTTATTATGTCAATACCATGTACTTTCTTTTTTCTTCATTTATAATTAAGCCTATTTGTTTACTTTCATCCATGAGAGTTTCTGCCAAATTTTGAAGATCGCTCTCAGTTTTGGACAGTTTTACTATGTCAATAGCATATAATAGTTTAATAGTTTTAGATTTTTGAAGTTTGACTCCTTAACCGGTGTTTTATACTTAAATAATCATTTCCTCTAATTCAATATTGAAGAGTATTGATGAGATATCTCCCTAATAAATTATACTTACCATACTTTAGGCTTGAAATGTTAATAAAAATAAACTAATAAACTAAAATATCTGATTTTTTAATCTTAAATTAAATATTTTAGAATCAGCCCTAAAATTTAAATAATTTGAAGAAATGTAAATGCTTGATGGTTTATGTTTATCATTATTTTCAGTCTTTTCAATATATTAAGAAAGTTTTGAGAAAAATAAATATCTAAATCATTTATGTCTATTTTCTGATCTTTTAAGTTGATGCACTAGTTTACCTAAGCATGTGATATAAAAAATAAAAAACTAAGAAACTTGCATTTTTTAAATACTAATAATACATTTATAGCAGTAGTGGTTAAATATTTTTGTTCGCAGAACCCTTATATTTTTAAAAAAAATGTATGGAATTATGAAAATTAGGAATTTATATTAGAGACAATAATAATTATCAACATTTTATATTGAGAAAAACACACAATTTAAAATTCAAACTTATTTTTTGCCATAAAAATTGTGGTTATTTTACGTTATATTGATAAATTTACTTGATTTAATTTTGTGAAAATACCATTCAAGTAATGAAGTTGGAATAACATAATTTTATCAGAAGTCTGAGTTATAAATGAAATGGGTGTCACTAAAACGTACCATTATTTGCATAATTCAAATAATCATATCAGTGTTTTTCCTCGATAACTATGAAATATAAAAATATATAAATTTAATTAATTCAGATATGCCCACAGAGCCCCTAAAACTTCTCTTGGGGAGTTCTAAGGCTCTGCGAAGTACAGTTTGAGAACCGCTGATTCATAGTATTTGTTTTCTTGTAATCTGCATTAAATCATTATAACTTTTCTCTTAAGAAGGGCAGCCAAAAGGAACAATATATATATACATATATAAATGAATAAAGATGTAAGGATGAAATTCTAAATAGAATAGCACAAGCAAAGATGGCTTTCAAGAATAAAAAACACCTATTAACCACCAATAGTGTGGCCTTAGAAGTAAGGAAAAGGTTTTTAAAAAGATATGTATGGAGTATTGCCTTATATGGCTGTGGAATTTGGACAATCAGTGCAATAGATAAAATAAAACTAGAAGCCTTCGAAATGTGGTGTTATCGTAAAATGTTAAGAATTAAATGGATTGATAAAATAACGAATGAAGCAGTACTAAATAGAATAAAAGAAAAGAAAGTACTATGGTATACCATTAAAGTTAGAAGAGCTAAAATGATAGGACATCTACTACGCCATGAGAATCTATCAAAAGCGTCATGAAGGCGACCTTGAAGGCAATATAGAAAGAGGAAGACCAAGGTTAGGTTAAGTTGCTAGGTCCATGTACATGAAACAAATCATAATTGACATGGGGAAGAATAGTTATTAGGAATTAAAGGAGTTGAGTAACGATAGCGACGCATGGAGAACTGCAGCAAACCAATCTTAAGATTGAAGACTGAAAGAAGAAAGATACATTTAAATACAAATATATATATATATATATATATATTACGGGCAATATGGAATAAGAGGCAATTTGAAACTAGAACAAAAATATTAATAATACTTGTATAATTATAACTGGAAAATATTTTACAAATAATTTATAATACTTTTATTATAATACAGAACAAAGTATAAAATATCAATATTTTATTACTCAATATTTATATTATTTTATCTTATATCTAGGATTAGGTACTTCTAGTATTTGCATACTTTTTTTAATTATCGTTAATTATAGCAGAGTGGGAAATAAATTAGTTTCTTGGTGCCATATCAGATCTCATATTTGCATATTAGATTGATAAAAATAATATAGTAATATAATATAATGTTATTCAATCAGACAACAATAAATGAACAATAATTGTTACTTATGATCAGGGTTGGGATTTTATAGCACTTAAAATTACATAAATATGTGCTAAAATATTACCTTGAAAATTGCTAAATATGCACTAAAAATATGCAATAAAACAACAAAAAAAAAAAGGAAATTTATTATTTAATAATTTTATACGAGCACTAGAGACGAATGTGGACTGTATAAAGTGAATTCTACTCGTTCGTTGATACTCGGTTATTAGTAGATTTAGTAGAAATCGACAAAAAAACCCAACAAAATCAGCAGATAACAAAAATAGAACCAAATAACTGAAACAAAATTAATGTATTATATTATACCTACTTATCTATATATTATTGCTGTGATTGTACAGAGTTGCATTAGCGTAATCGGTCTATTTACTTAATCTATATATTTATAATTTAATTTAAAAGTAAAATTAAAATTTTAAATCATGAAAATTCGATCAACAAAAATCAAAAAACACGTTTACCAAAATACAATTTCATAAAATATGCCCGATTTTGATTAAAACACTGATAAAATGCAAAAAAGTCTTAAAAAATCCAAAAAAAAACTATAAACTAAAAATCGCAAAATATGTAAAAAAAAGGCAAAATAAAATTTTTTATTTGAGTTCTTTGTATTATGAAACACATTTTTAGCTTACTCTGTTATTTTTTAAGCATCTCATAAGAAATATGTAAATGCTATAAAATCCCAACCCTACTTATGATGTATACGATTAACTAGTCAAATTTTGTATTTTTCAAGAAGCTTTGTACTTTGTAATTATTTATTTATATTTGAGGTTCAAATTGCCTGAGCAATGTGTACGTTGCCTATAACATATACACAAAAAAAAAAAGTAATTAACATTTTATGGAAAACCTTATTTTATTAAAGTAGTGATAATTATTTTACTCTTATTAAAACCTGAGGATGAAAGTGTAAATAATATATCTGTTTGATTCTGTACAATAAAAATTCTAGGGAGCATCAACAATTCGGTTGATGTCCCCTTGGAGTTTTAGAATAAGGTGCGTGTATTTAAATAAAAATTTGTTAGTTTAAAGTTTCAACCTTTTAAATTATTCTATCATTATTTCTAAATTATTAAACATCTTTGTTCTATATTATCAAGATAATAAATAATAATAAATATAGCAGTTTTTTTTATATTTTAGTTAAAATTGTTACCATAACAAAACATAGTTGAAAATATTTATTTTTTTAAATTGAACTTTTAAATTTAATTTTTAAAATTTTAATATTTAAATCTTAGTATATTATAACTAAGTTGTAATAACTCAGGTTAGTTGTAAGATCCTCTGAAATATGTAGAAGTATATCATTATAATAAAATTGAAAAATTATTAAATTTTTCGACAAGTAGGTTATTTTTTGGATATTTTACTTTTATTATGTTTTTGTTAGTGTAATTTTTTAACTGTAGTACTTAAATATTTTAAACAATACACTCAGGTTGAGGCTTTGTTTCACATATAAAATAGTTTTTTTCTAAACAATTACGTGCAGTCCATTTGTAATTAATATTTGGATCGATTGCCATACACATAAATTTATCATTTTGATCAAAATATGGTATTTTCTCAAAATGGTTGTATTGTATTTTACGTCCTGATGTCGCCCATTTCCATTGGTCCTGGTTCCAATCGTAAAGTCCTCCTATCCATCTTTCTTTTATTTCTAATATAATAATAACAATTTAATTTAATTTTAAAAATATAATATTTTGGTTTAAATTGATTTTTATCAATCAACATAATATAAAATTATTAAAAATTAAAATATATAATCATAATCAGATGATTTTAATATTTTATAAATCTGTAAACCTTTTATCATAGTTTAATCTTTAAGTAATATAATAAATAAATAAGCAAGAATGAAAACAGAGTTCATATTATACTTAATATTTGAAAAAAGCATTTAAAAGTTGAATGGGGTAAGCTTTTACCATGATACCAAGGGCGGCTCCAGGGGGGCCCTAGGGGCCGTGGCTCCCTCCCAAGCTCTTACCGTATTTATAAAAAAATGTATATTGTTAACAAGAAATGCATACTATAATATGTACTATCATACGACAAGTATGTAGATATAGCCATAGAGGTATGATGGTTGAAAGGAGTGTTTCTCCACACTTCAGAGACAAAAACTTGGCTTCGTTCTATGATAACTGAAGATAGACTATCAGTATTATGTCTAAATAATGTATATCACAAGTAGATATTCTAGATCAAATAGATCATATTAATGATATTTTTGCTAATTTTAAAAAAAGACGACTTGAATTTGTGTTGTAAAAGTTTTCTTTTTGTTATAGGATTTTGTAAAATTATAACTTAACCCCCCCCCCAACAAGGCTCTGGAGCCGACCCTGCATGGTATAACTAATGTATCACTCATTACAACATTAAAAAAGCTAAATAAAGACATTTTTATTATTAGTCTATTATTGCTATTTAAAAAAGTATGGTATATCAATAGCCTTCATAAAAATATTAGTTTTTAAAAATCTTTATAATTAAGAGGTAACAAAGCATAACATTTTACAATTATATGATTCTACTAGATTCCTTACTAGAATTATGATAAATATTAATATATAATAATATGATAAATTAAGAAATTTAGGTATTGATTTTCAATAAAAATGTAGATATTTATTTTATAGTTACAATTTATTAATTTTAATTACTAATTGATATTCACAATTTCATACATTAATTTGTTATTTTTGTATTTATTATACAAAGATATAATTTTACATAGTTAGATTCTCATAGTTTAATTAATTATTAAAATATATTATACTTTATTTGTTATTACCTACTAGAGCCTGGATTTATATGCATTTGCATGTTTGCACTAAGTGTATGCACGTTTATGGAGGTTTAAAATGTTTACGATTCATATCACAACAAATTTAAACACCAAATTTTATATTGCATATTTTGCTCATCATAATATAATATGCATATTTAATGGGTTTTTAATAAATTAAAAATTTTTGTATTTTTTTTAAGTTTTCTATTAGTTTTTTGAGAGTAGGTAACTACAATTGATCTAAAATATTTATTTTTAGTTTTTTTTTTTATTTTTAATCTCGTTTTTAAGTTTCTTAAAAGTTTTATATTGATTTAAATAATTTTAAATATAAAGCAGTGGTTATTATCATTTTTTTTTGTTTTTAATAAAATATTTAGAATTTGATTTGGTATAAAAGGGTGGTTTTTTAAAAAACACATTTTATAAAGTGTAATATAATGCATATAATTGCAGATGTAGCTACTTTTTCTTTGCATATAAATCCGTGCTCTAGTTATTACTATTCAATGATGGTGCTAGAGTTTGCGAGGCCCTGGGCAAAATAAACGTTGGGTCTTATCATTTATATTTATAAAATATTTTGAATTCAGTTTAATCAGAACCGCGGGGACTTAATTATAATTTAGGCGCGGAGTCCTGGGTAACTGCCCCTATTGCCCTCCCCCTCGGCCGTCCCTGTTACTATTAATAGATTTAAAACATTTATTTAAACATTATCTTTAAGAAATGTTTTATATGAACCATTTATTTTATGGTTATTTTATTTATTGGTACTAATTCCTATAAAAATTAAATTATATATTGATATCATCTATGTTTTAATAGTTTTTATTCATTGGCTTTGGAATAATTTAATAATCTTACCTGTATGTCTGTATTTCAAAAATTTTCTTATATTATGATCATCCACTTCTTTGTAAAGCACAGCAAGTTTACTTCCTTTTGCTAAATATTTACATTCAAAATAAGCTTCTTGCCATGTCGCTGTTTTTGTACTTAAATAGAAACAGTTATTTCCAAATTTTGAAAACCCATTTTTACAATTGTACATCAGTTTTGATTCGCTTGTAAAAAATAAGACTGTAAAATATAAAAAACAAATGTATCCATATTTATAAATAAAAAAAATATTATTTTTCTATCTACCATTTAACAATAAATAATGGTAAAACAAAATTATTTTTGGTAATGTTTTGAAATTCATTTTCAGTTTAAAAAAATTATTATACTAATAAAACTTTAAGAATTTTTGAACTGTGCTGGTTCAGTTACACTTCAGTACTGAAATGTTACTGATGACCCATTAGTATTACAGTTTTATAATCATTATTCAACCTTCAGGCAAGTTTTGTTACTCAGTCAATCATATAACATCATTCCATGAACTGCAATCACTGTTGTATATAATATTTTAAACATTTTTGGGAGAAAATTAACATTCAAATAAGTTTGTAGATTTACTGGTACTTATAATTATTATGTTTAGTTTATAATATGTGGTTGTACTAGGGTTCCCATAATATCATATGAATATTGAATATTAAATATCTAAAAATTAGTATTTTTCTAAAATAAAATAATTATCCAATCCAAAAACATTTACAGATAATGAAATTTCAACTTTTAAAATTTGCGTGAGTACTTCATTAATTGTTATTTAATCTTAGAGATGAAAAGTATGAATTATAAATTAATTTTTTTTTTATATTTTTTTTGTAAAGCGTGTATATACTCGTTTTATTTTTTATTGGTTTAAAATGAATGGTATATAATTTTATGTAATTATAATTATACTACTTTTATGAATTTAATTATGTTTAATTATAAATATCGATTTATAGTAATAATTTAAATAGGTATTATATTACTAGTTTTTTATACTAAAGTATTATACTACTATAGTCACTAGAGGTATTTATTTAAGTATTTAAATAACATGATACTGAAAAAGTCGTTATAAAATGAACCTAGTATATAATTAATCACGTTTTCATTGATATTCAAAATAATTTAATTGTTCAACATATCTTTTTTTTTTATTTATTTTAGAATTATGATAGATTCATTTTATTTTTGGTTTTTCAACAATTCTATGCAGGTTTTTAAAAAAATATCTTAAGGTGTTTAGGAATATATATGTATTGTATGGTATACATATAGATTATTGACAGTATTTTTCCTTAAAGTCACTCCTCTCCCTTAAAGTCACTCCTCTCAAAAACAACAATATATAATTTGCAAGTTAACGCCCTTCCTGAAATAATTATTATCATAAAAAAACTATGTATTGTACTGAATTTACTCAATTCACCACACCTTAAAAAGCGGTTTTATGTAATTTAATTGTACCTTTATCCATCGATATTTGGTGCTTTGGTAAAAATAATAATTATAGGCCGTAAAGTGGTTTAAAATTCTTACTTGGGGTACGATAATTTTTTGAATCAAAAATTAAATATTTAAAGGAGTATATGATGATTTCATCCAGTCCATTATTATAATTAGTATTATACAACTAATTGGGAGTTCGCATTATTGATTAAAAATATATATTTTTAAATGTTTTGAGTTAATTTATAATTATAAAAATGATCTTTATAAATTGGGCGTTTTACCACATTTGATTCACTATTATCACAATTAGGCCTGTCGTTACATATTTTCCGTCTTAAAGCAAAAATTGTTTTGTCGCTCTTTATTAAAAACATTACAAATCGAAATTATAATATGCTATTATACAAAAATCAGTCCGTATATTCTACGGAGTGATTTTTGTAACGATTTTCTGTGTAACTTATATGTTTTGAAATTAATTTGATTTATTAACACTGCATGTCTGCGTATTAAATATGTTTTTATTTAAATACCTACTTAATTTTAAATATTAACCGGGGGTAAAATATATTTTTTTTTTATGTCATATAAATTAATTTGGTGCTCTTTTTTTATGTATAATGTTACTATAATTTACCATTCAAAATAATTTATTTTTATTTGTAATATTTGTTACTTAAATTTAATTGTATTGATTATTTGTTTATTGTGAAGTATGATGAGGCTAGTTACACCCATTTTATGACGAAGTTGAGTTACTTATTCTGTTTAGAGTTTTATAGGCTACTTATATCAATCATTTGTCAATATATTCTCATGTGGTTATGAGTTATAGTAGACAAGTATTAATGTTAATAATAAGTTTTTACGATATGACATCATAAGTATTTACGATGTGCAGAAAATAGTGACAAATTCATTAAATAACCTTGTAATTTTCTATTTTCAATGACGCTATTATAAATTATTGATGAAAAACACGTTATTTAAGAATCAATGAATGTGGGTTTTATTATTGATTTATGTTATTCTATATTTTTAGAAAGAATCTGTGGATCTAGCATTAAAGCTGTTAGATGGTTATAGATTTCGAGAAAAAGAAATTCGTGTAGAGAAGGCAAAATTTACTATGCGTGGAGAAAAATATGATCCATCATTGAAACCAAAAAAAAAAAAGCGAAAGGATAAAGAAAAGATAAAAAAAATTCAGGAGAAGTAATTTGTTTTATATTAGTTTTAAATAAAATATTTATATTACTCTTAACATTTTTTTTCTTTCTAGGTTATTCGATTGGAGACCTGATAAAATGAGAGGCGAAAAAGGAAAACACGAGAGTGTTGTAATTGTCAAAAATTTATTTGAAAAAGAAACATTTGATAATGATGTGTCATTACTCTTAGAATACCAAAAGGATCTTCGGGAAGAATGTTCAAAGTGTGGTGTCGTAAAAAAAGTAGTTGTGTATGATGTAAGTATTATAGGGAGTCATCATTATGCAATAGATTTTTATTAATAACCAAAATCAGTTTGGTGGTCTATGTATGTACACACATTTCATTTCTAGATGTCTAATTAAAAATTACATCTTATTAAATACTTGATAATTATTAATTTAATTGATTTATTATTAGATTTGGTTAAATAATATTATATGATATATATTTACACATATATTGTAGTTAGTATTTTTTTTTTTTTTTTTACTTAGATCTAAGGATTAATACCAGAATAAATAAATTAATAACAACCATAAATTCAATAAATTAATAAATATATCAAGTAAAATAAACTTTTAAAGAATAATGAGCAAGTTATCTTGCTACTTGATACATAGATTTAATTTTATTATTATTTGAATTAATATTTAAAGTCTTGTCTTTTGAAAATATTTTTTTATTGATATTGTGATTAGCAATGGGAATAATCAAACAATTCGATTATTTGAAATAATCGAATCATTCAATTATTTTGATATAAGTCTTTTTAATTTTGTTATTCATTTTTTAGAGACATCCGGAGGGTGTGGCTCAGATTAACTTTAAAGAGCCTGATGCAGCTGAAGCTTGTGTACAACTATTAAATAATCGGTGGTTTGGCCAACGAAAAATTACTGCTGAAATATGGGATGGAAAATCTAAATACAAGTTGTTATACTTTAAAATAATTTGGAAAAATACATAAAAATGATTTATTTTTTATTTACTATATAGGGTTATAGAAACACCGGAAGAAACTGAAGAGAGATTAAGAAAATGGGAAGCATATTTAGTGGCCACTGGTAGTACTGAAAAAAATGATGCTCACGATTCTGATGGTGATTCAGTAAAAACAAAAAGTGGTGGTGAAAGTGATGATGAAACACCATTAACAAATCAATCAACCTGTAATTGAAGTAATATATTTTTTAATTAGATAATATTTATTTTGAGTTATAACAAATATATTTCAAGAAATAATAAAGTATAAAAAAAAAAAAATTAAAATATATATATATTATATAGTTTACAGAATTGTGCAAGTTCTAATTAGTCTTCTCCAGCAGGTATAGCATCTTCTAGCCGTTTGTTGAACTTAATTCGTAATTCAGTGGCTAAATCACCTTTTAATTGATCTTGTACAAACCAACATGATATATCCATTTGTACCTAGAAATATAAAATAACTATAAAATATTATCTTAAACTTCACATTTTTTAAGTATCAAAATTATTTTTAATATTTAGATAAAAAGGGTTAAGTATAACTAAAATTGTATAATTATAATTTTTTTTTTAACTTTATTTATAAGTTATAAATATTGTGTCAGTAAAATTTTACTATTCTTAGAAATGATTAAACTGATGTAATTTTTGTGGAATAATAATGTAAGAAAAGAAATAATAATATAGTTCATTATGTTTTTAATTTGTTCAAAATAATTCAACAATTTAAATCAATATGATCTTGTATAATTTAAAATACTTTCAAGTTTCACCAATTATTTGATTTGATTTATAACATATTTACAAATATTACACAAATCAACATGACTTTAACTAATAAATAAATGTATTTTTTTTTTGTCAATATATTACAACTTTAAAATGTACTAAGTACCATTTCACATGATCCTCTCAAGGCTCCACAAAGTATATTGCTGTATTTGAGATTTTGATAATTATCAGGTAGTTCAACAAATTCCGTTAATGGATTAGTGTCAAATGTTAATGAAAACTCATCTCCAGCAGCGCTCCAATTAGTTAAAGCTGGAGTAATACCCAAATACATTTTAAACGCATACTATAATAAAACATTGATCAATTATGAACAATAAAATAATATTTAAAATAAACAGAAACCTGAATTTTATCAGCTGTTTCTCTCAAATCATAACATCTTCCAGCATTAGTACGTGCTAAAAAATCTTCAACCATTCGCACACCAATGTTATAACCCATTCGATCTAACTGTTTGTTAACATCTTCAACATTTTCGTAGTCTTTCATAAGTTGTGATACTATGGCACCATAAGTTAAAGTAAATAATTCTGAATTCTGAAAACAAGTTATACATTAAATAATGTTTTAAAAATGTATTAGGAAATTCATATTGATATGCTAAGTAATAGGACATTTTTAAGTGGTAGTTAGTTGTTTTAGTTCATAAGGGATGTTAGTGTGTGCATAGGGGATGTAGAAAAGTGAGACAAGTGGAGGTTTAGGACAAGGGTGCCCAACTCCAAATAGTTGAGAGAAAGACAAAGGAGAAGAAGAATAAGAACAAGAAGAAGGTATTTTTAGTAGTTATAAGTAGTAATTTTAATTTTTATTTATTCATATGGCTATTAAAATGTAAGATGTACTTATTAGTATTCAATATATTTAAATGATAATAATAAGTTAACTTTTGTAAAAGTAAGTAAATTTGGATTGTTTAAATACTTAATCTTTTATTAGCTTATTATCAAAAATTACAATAGAAATTGAATGAATATCTAATAATTTGTTTCTCTTCACATTGGGCAATAAAAATAGTACAATTTTAGTTAAACAATTACAACAATTAATTATTTTGCAAATTAAAGTTTTTTTTTTTTTTTACAATAATATAATTATAAAAAATAATCAATCTTCTATGGTTCATGATCTTTTGTGTTATCTTTGAAGTAAAGACTTTACACGGGTAGCTTTAGATAGTAAATCTTTAAAATTTAATTAAAATCATTGTACAGATTAGGAAAAATACTTTATGATAATATTATATTGACAGTTAAGTAACGAAAGAAGTAGAACAAAACAAAATATCTAATTACATATTATTATCTGTAATATTATATTAACATACATTTTAAATACTTTTTTTTATGCTACAATATAAATAAAACATACTCAAGATTATAATTGCAATAACAAATATTAGACTTTTATTTTTTGATTTTTCTGAAGTAAAATAATGCATATTAGATACTAATAATAAACTATTTAAAAATATATTCCTATTGATATTTTATACTTACAACTTTTTTGACGTCCAATCTTGTACTTTGTCGAGACATAATACCAATACTATTAAAATGGATGATTTAAATAGTACAACAAAATGGTAAATTTTAAAGTTATATAAATTACAGATTTAAAGGAATAACTCAAAATTTTCATCATATTTCATTTTATTATCAGTTATTAGATCTAATGTAATTATGATATGATAATATAGTGTAATGTGGTTGTGGCACAGAGGTAGGATCAAACCAAGGTTTATAGATTACGATTTATAAACCATGGAATTTAACATGATTCCAGAGTGTAGTATTTATAAAATATAAATTCAAAAAAAATTAGATGAAATAGTTATATAAGACTATTATTTACTTATACTTTATTTTAATTTCTGAATTTTTTTTATTTTAATTTTATTATTTTCTATATCAGCAACTGTACAACCGGCCCATAAACATATATAGTAAAAGTTCTTATATTATCTTTGATTCTAACCACGGTCTTAGAAGATTTTCTAAGTTATAAAAACCGTTCTGAATTTATTTTTAAAACAACATAACCTATTAAAAATTAGTTAATGATAAAGATAATATATAAACAGTAAATAATAAATACCGGCTTCAAATTTAACTTAAAAAAGTAGGAATTATTTAAAATATAAACAGTTTATCATATTATTATTCAAAAATGAACGACACCGATAATTATAAGTCATACTTGAAACGTACCGTTTATATTGGTGGATTAGCTGAAGAAGTGGACGATAAAGTATTAAAAGCTGCATTCATTCCTTTCGGTGATATTGTCGATGTCCAGGTAATTATTTTAGTTTACATATAAATAGATCAAATCCATAATTTTTTTTATATATTTAGATGCCATTAGATTATGAATCGGAGAAACACCGTGGATTTGCATTTGTTGAATTCGAACAGCCAGAAGATGCCTTAGATGCCATTGATAATATGAATGAATCAGAAATATTTGGCCGTACGATCCGTGTCAATTTGGCTAAGCCCCAGAAAATTAACAGAGGCTCAACAAGACCAGTATGGTCAGAAGATGATTGGCTTGTTCAGTATGCTGGTAAGACATTGGAACCCAAGGATGATAAAAAAACTGAAGAGGACAAAAACAAAGACGAAGCAAAAAATCCACAGGTTTATTTGGATATTAAAATTGGTAAAAAAGATGCTGGTCGCATTATAATCATGCTACGAGCAGATATTGTCCCTCGCACAGCAGAAAATTTCCGTTGCTTATGTACTCATGAGAAGGGTTTTGGATATCAAAATACTACATTTCATCGTATCATACCAAATTTTATGTGTCAAGGTGGTGACATTACCAATAATAATGGCACAGGTGGATTATCAATTTATGGAAAAAAGTTTGACGATGAAAATTTTGAATTAAAACACACTGGCCCAGGAGTTTTATCAATGGCGAATTCTGGGCCAAATACAAACAGTTCACAATTTTTTATTTGTACAGCACGTACAGAATGGTTGGACAATAAACATGTTGTATTTGGTCATGTATTAAGTGGTATTGATGTAATGAAAAAAATGGAAAAATGTGGGACTAAAGCTGGTTTACCAACTGAAAAAGTTATAATTGGATCTTGTGGACAATTAGCTTAGAAAAATATTAATGAATTATTTAATTTAATATTAATTAATGTTTAATTTGTAAATGTTTTTTGTACTATAATAATTCATTTTTTTTTTCAAGATTTAAAATTGATTTTGTAAATTATAAATTTCTATAAATATATATATCCTTTATATTTTTAATAAAAGGATTTTTTAAGACACTACAAAATTGCTATCATCTATTAGCACGGGCTTTTTTATTTTAATTTTTAACAAAGATGTTATTAAAAATGTATTTATTAGTGATGGCAGTAGTAAATAATTTTACTATCGAATAAATATTTGAATAATCTATTTTATAAATCAATATTTTATTTAAAAAAAACTAAACTTGAACTTTTCATTTATTAAATAATATTAAAAATTGTTAATATTAGTTGACATAGGTATGTTTTTAGTTTTCCTACATATTTTTATTTAGAAAAACAAGAGTTTCAAGATTTTTTTGGCAATAATCTGTTGCGCATGGCTGATATAATTTGACTGGTCTTGGAAAATATATGTTCCGAAGGTACTGATGTAGCAGATTTTGTTGTGTATTTTAATGCCACTTCATTCATAAAAAAATTATATTGGTGGTATAAAAATATTATTTAACACCAATAATATAATAAATTATATAATCTGAATTTTGAATTACAGGGAAGATATGTTATATTTTAATATCATTATTTTAAATATAAATCATAGACCTTTTGGATTTTACTAGTATAAGTTCATTATATAAATGTGATAAATATAAACAAAGTAACAAATGTATCTACAAATGTATGTACAATATGTATCTATTTTTTACATTCTCAACATATATTATTATATTCATATCAATAATTTAAATTTTGGCGTATATATTTTTTTTTATTAATATCAAGTTATTCGAAAAATAGCGAACTATTCGATAATGCTCATCACTAGTATATATATAAGACATAAAAAATACTTGTAAAAAAAAAAAAAAAAACGTAGCATCAGTTTTTGAATCTGTTGCCATATGAAATAACTTAAACTCAAATTTATAATAACTTATTTCATAAAAACTCAAAAAATAAATATTAAAATATTGTCTACATTGCCAATTGGCAACAAAAAGTGCTAATGGACTAAAGTAATGCATTTATGAATTATTAGGTTGAATTTGTAGATTCAATAAATAATGAACATTAAACTTACATTTAAAAAATGGGAATATTTGTCATTCTCATACTTAATGACTATAATACTTATAATTTATAATGAATACAATTATATTTTAGAAAAACCTTAAAAATAATTTTAAGGATATTAAAACTAAATCATATCTCTAGTACAATATTTTTAAAAATGTTTAATGATTACAAATTAATCTGGGATAATACAATAAAATAATTGTACAATTTGTATGCCTAGTTTCAATAGTAATAAATGTAAACAGCTAAGAAATAGAATAGTGTTATAATTTCAGTAACCATTTATAATATATTTTAACACAAATATTCTTACTAAATAATATTATTACTTTAAATATATTACTGTATGTTTAATTAGTAAAACATTTTAAAACATAATGAAAATTATACAAGAATCTAACATGTATTAGTAAGGAGTTAAAACATATTTTATGATTATTTACTAAATTTGAAAGTAGCATTTTTCTTCTTAGTTACTGTTTCGGAATGTTTTTCAAATTTAATTTTTTCTTTCATGTCAAGGTAGAGTTTCAGCTTTGATCTATATATATATACACATACATATTCATATACATAAAAAACTTTTCCAAAATAATGATTAAATAAATATACATAAATCTATAACTAGGGATAGGTTTTTAAGATTCAATTCTTCCTCAAAATTTTAAAACTGTCAAAAAATAGTTGTGGATTTCCTTAGTTTTTTTTTTTTTTTTTAACATTTATCTTATAATATGAACCATCGCTCAGGCATTTAACAGAGTTTAGCATTCATCTAAATTTTAAAAAGAAAAAAAAATTCTTTGCAGACCTACAAAATACAAAATTAACAATGTTAAAATTTGTATAGAATATTCTCTAACTTATTAAATTACAACCCAAAGGTGCTCTATCAGTTAGCAATCATTTACTTCTTGTTAATCAAAATTCTAACAAATAATGATATTATACCAAATACATTCAATGCCATGATTTGATAATCCCTGATTCTGGATAAATATTATATTTTATAGTGTTTCAGAATACTAGACTGACACAGAATGATCATAATATAATATATATAATTTTTTGCATGGTCATTCAATTTACATTTTAAATGAAGTGGTACTCTTGGTTTTAAGTGTCAGCTATTTTTGATATAATGGCAAGGTTCTTTTATAACTGTTTAACATGTCCATGATTTAATTCTATTGGTATGGCATGTAGTATAATACACCAAAATAATGTTGGCATTGAAGAATGAGTTAAAAAAACAGTTATTCCTATTATTGATACAAAATATACCCAAACACCTCCCAAATGTTAATACAATATTATTAAAATAATACTAACAATATAAGATGCATAATTGTACAATTAAAAAATGAACCCTTTTTAATTCGATCCAGATTACCTATAGTTTGTTCTAAAAATGCCATCTAACTTATATCAGCAATAGGTTTAATTCTAGACAAGTATCTTATTTAGAATACCCCCTAAAAATTAATCCACCAATATTTATTTTAGAATTGGGTCTAATTTCTTAGTTCCAAATTCGTTAAGAAAAAAATAAAATAATTTTACACTGTTAAAAATACTTTTTAAAAACTTTCCCTAATTATTTTTTTAAATATAATACATTTAAAGAATATAAATAAAATATGATTTAAGTAATTACCCAATTGTATTAACAATATTATTGTCACAAGTAGAAATCCAAATGGATAATTTGCTGTGTTGACGCTTATTGTAAACAATACCACATATGTTACTATCGTATGGATAATACATTCCACCAATCATACTCAATAACTACAAATAATAAAATAAATTACATTATAATAGGTAAATGTATTTCAATATAAACATTACAATATCAATCCAGTACTGATCTAATAATCCATTGTCTTTTATTAACCAACGTCCACCATTTTTATTTGTTGTGTCTTCCCATATTGGTTTTATATCTGATTTGAATACAGAGTAATCACATCCAATTTTTAACATACTTGGTTTTTTGATGTGATTAAATATGCTATGAATAAAAAATTAAAATTGAAGTAATATTTAAAATTAATATTGGTTTTAGAAATGTACATGTGCATAAAATATTATGTTTAAAATATATGCTAATCAGTATCACCAGGTTTTGAGGGATCTGGGGCAAATTTTTTCATAGGGCCCAAGAATTTTTTTTTGTGAAGTCAAAAAAAAACATAATATTAAAATTTCAGGCATTCAGGCATCTTTGCCCTAGGCTTGTTGGTATAAGGGTACTCATTAGTTCATGAAGATAAAATAAGTCATAAATATAATAACAACTACATAAGGGTACTGGATTTCATTAACCACAAGTGTCAAATTTCCTAGATCTGTCACTGCCTATAATGACAGGGCCTTGGACAGCTGTTCCTTTAACCCTGCCCTTCTGTTGGCGCTAAAAACTGTATTTTAAAATGTAGTCAGTATTTTCTTACATTTTGTTCCTATTTTTAGAGTAGAAATTCTGTACCAAGTTGCACATAACTTTAAAACAAAAATTGAACATAGATGATATATAAATTATTTCACTTTGTTACAACTTATATAATTTGGTTCTACATAATTAAGCAGGAAATTTTACAAATCTAATTATAGTAAATATTTAACGTATAAGAGGTCTAAAAGTGTTGACTAAGACCTATAGTTGATTTGATGTTTCTTTAAAAATTAAAGACTTCAATATTGCACTTACCTCCAAAATTTTTCAACACTATCAAATTCACACAACCCATGTAAATTTTCTAACCAATTTTTACGCGGATCAATCAAACCATCGAATTTCCAGTACCATAGTTTCCAAGAATCGCTCAACAAATGAACGTCATCCATATAATTGCTTTCCAATTCCATATTTTTAATGTTATGATTTTTCATTGCTTACTAAATATACTAAAGAACGAATTGAAGTTTAAAAATCACTTAAATAATCGGACACGACAAGAAGAAGACTTAAATTATGAAATTAATTAATTTTTTTTTTAAAGAATTGTTTAAACCCTTCACTACAATTTAAACACCAGTACAGCATAGATAATTGAATTGCAACAATAAGCAACAGCCATTTTTGAAATTTTGTTATCCAATAGAAGGGAGTACTGATAAATACAGTAGATAAAATTAAAAATACCTACTATAAGATTTTAGGAAATGGTAATAATCATACAATATGGTGCGGGAAACCAGAATTTATTATTACACATAAATGCATTACAGTATTGTTGGAATACAGATAAAAATAAGTTTTTTTTCTCTGATAACATGCCTCACAATTGTTTTTATAATAATTTTGCACTCTTAATGCATCACAAATTAGTTTTTTATAGGTCTTTTAACCTTGTTTGGTTAAAGTACAAATGCGTGTTTAGCGAATGATCCTTGTTTACTTGCGTTATCTGAGTGAGTCTCATAAACCATCTTTTCATTTTGTGCACCCAAAACTTCTTTTATTTTCCTTCTGAAATTTAAAATTGAACAATTATTTATAATTGGAGGAAAGATATTATGATTAGATTTATATTTATAGTGATTAATTAAAAATCGAGTCAGGGGTGGGTTATATCACTCACCTAGGGAGGGGCTAATGGAGGGTCAAGAATTTGGTAAATTGTTTTTTAAATCTATGTACAATTTTAAATTACAGAATATGTTTTGGAGACTCTCATAAGTACGTCATTTTTTTCACAATAGTAACAAATTTTAAATAGTTACATTATTGGTATCGATTTTAATCTGAAACCATTTTAAAATTATAGGTAAACACCTATAATTGACAACAAAAATGAGCGATTTGTTTATAAAAAAAATATATAAAATAGGTACCACCATATTCATTGATGATGATTGACCATATTTTATAATAATTATTAATACATCATAATACTTGGCTCTGTAAAGTAGTTAGCTTAGTTCAAACGGAGGGCTAATGCCTCCTTAACCACCCACTTAACCCGCCTCTGCATCAAGTGTAATATATATCATGAAACTAATTTAGATTGGTCTCAAATCAGAAAGAAATTATAATATACAACTGAACTTTTTATTTGTATGCTAAATTGATATTTGTTAATTTACTTATTTACTTTTTAATTTATAACCAATTACGGTTTTGTTTCACAAGTTATATGAAACTGAATAAAAAATAATATAATTAAATACTATTATATTAAATGAAAGAACAATGTTAACTTTTCTTCAAACATAACCTTTGAGACTATAACATTACTTGATAAACTATAATATTTTCTTCTTTTACATTCACAATAGATTTACGTTTGAGGAAAAAATAATACTTCAATAAGTCATTGTTACATAGATTGGTACTTTAGGGTTATTTCAGTCAATATTTTGAAACAAGTAATAAGACATCAATATTAAAAATTTAATACTAATTATACTTAATATTTATCATTATAATTATATAGTAATTGTAAAATAAATTTATTATTTTTATTTTGAGAATAATTATAATCTATATTTTGGGAAGTTGAGTAAGTTACTTAACAGTTACTCAACTTACCAAACTTACTAAAGCAAAGTAAAAAATAACAATCACAAAGTTACTAAAATTAGTTACTTAACAATTCAAATCATTTTTTTTTTTTTTTTGTTAAGAAGAAATTATCTAAACAGTATATTTGGTTCAGAAAAACTATAGGAGTATGTAGAAACAAAAATGCAATAGCAATAGACTTTCAGATTAATATAGTGTATAATAATACACTATATATATAAAAAAAAATGAAATTAGTATTCGAATCTAATAATTTTTTCTTAAAAACTAAATTTGTTAACGTTATAAGTTTTTTACGGAGAAATTACAAATTAGTTATTAAAAATATAAGTGTTATGAATGTATTATACATTATTTATATGATTGTTAGTTTTGTATAATTTTAATCCACATATATTTAACTAATAATTTTTTGAAATTACCCAATAGCCATAATGTTATCTCCATTATCTTTTGCTGCATTGTTTGTCCATACTGCTATTTTAGTTCCTTTGTTTCTTATATTAACTGTAGCTCCGTTAATTTCAGAGCTATGTTCATATATTTCACCAATTAAACTCATAATCTAAAATAAAAAATATTTGTAGTTTAAAATATAATAGGTAAAATATTTAATTTGTTCTTACTATATTTTTCCAATAATTATCTACAAGTGGGCTATTTTTTGCTAGTGGTAACTGCAATAACCAACGTCCACCATTACTATTCCTTTTATCTTCCCACATAGGTTTGATACCATTTTTAAAATAGTTATAATCACAACCTAATGAAAGTTGACTTGGAGGTTTTATATGATTGAATAAGCTAAAAATATAAAAGTCAATATCATATTTAAAAATCTTAATATTCACTAATAATTTTTTTTTCTAAATAAAATGTTTTCAATATACCACCAAAAGTCTTCTACAGTATCAAAACTAGCCACTTCACGAACATTTTCTTCCCAATTTTTACTTCTGTTTTCATAGAGCCAAAGTGTCCATGTATTTTCTAATGGATGTCTAACTTCTATTTCTGGTACAGTAGGTTCAGTTTCAACTGCCTGTTCATTTTCAACTTTGGGTAATTCATCTGATTGATGAACTGGTTCTCCCTAATTTGTCAATAAAATATATAAAATAAAATACTGGCACAGTGAAAACATTAACAACAATTAGCACATAATTTTCTTTTTATATATTAAAAAATCGTAAAAATAAAAAACTTGTTATTAATTCAAATTAAATAATATTTAACAATAAACAATTAATTAATAAAATAAATTCAATAATAATTATTTTAAGTAAATAATAAAACACTAAGTTACTAAATAATTTATTATGTACACTACATCCAACAATAATTTAGGTAAGTTAATGTTTAATCATATGATAATTTAAGAATAATTCTCATGCCAATATACTTTTCTTCTTAGATTTTATTATTTATTTATTTGTTATAATAAACTGAAACTTAAACTCCTTTTAGTATTATGTATAAGTTATAGAACTATGATTATTATTAGATTAAAATGAAAACTAAAATTAAATAAATTTGATACAAATTTTTGATCAAGAGGGATCTTTACTGACTGTTAATATCAATTAATAAATATGCTCAATTTTTATAAAATAAATGGAATACATTAAGATAAAGAAAGGAATTATTATTTATTGTCAAGGGTAGAACTAGAAGGAGGAGGTTCAGGTCAACTGACCAACAGTTGATATTTATAGATAAAATTGGTCTCTTGAATACGTTTTATATTTTTTAAAGGTGTTGACTATGGGTTGAACTTAATACTATACTGGGGAAAATTCCCCAGATGCCAACCTTCAAAAGATGCCACTGGTTTAATTTTACAGTAACATATTTCTATGATTGACTCCATGTTAAATGGAATCCTCTATAAAATAAAAGTTAATATTTTTAATGATAATTATGAATAAACACATATTATATGATCATACTGTGTTATTTTGTTACAGGATATACATTTATAATTCAGTTTTAGCCCTAATAAGTGATCTCTTGAAATAGCTTGAATAGTAGTACTCTAACTGTGGATTCCTTAATTTTCACTATAAGGAAATCTATAAGACTAAAATTATACATTATTAATAATTTTAATATATTTGGCATTGGGAAAGTGGCGTCCCTATCGCCTAGTGCCCTTCATTGGGTGCTGCAATAGCCCCACCCTGATCTTAAGTGATTGGAGTGGTCTGGCCCTCCAGGTTGGGGGTTGAGCGTCGGGTTAACAACCCAACCTTATAAAAAAACTTCTGTTTAGAATTCGAACAACAACAAGCCTCAGACTAGATTGGGAAAAAAGACTGGAAATTGGATATCGGAATTAAAAGGTGGTACTTGGAATATACGAACACTATACAAACCTGGAGCAACTATGGAATTACTAGGAGAGATAGAGAGATATAGAATGAAATACGTAGCATTACAAGAGTGAACGAGGTCACAAACTAGGGACTGGTTTTGCCATACATCATTCGATCATACATATGATTAAAGAGTTCAAAGATGTAAATCCGAGAATATCAACATTAACCCTGAAGGATAAAAATCTTCACATTGTGTTAATCAACATACAGGCGCCGAAGGAGGAAAAAGGTGAAGAAATAAAAGAAGAGTTCTATGATACTTTAGAGGAGGTATTTGATACTACGGTGGGAAATATTAAAATCGTACTGGGCGATCTAAATACTAAAATAGGAAAAGAAATGATATACCATAAAGTGACAGGAATGCATAGCCTCCATAAGCACTCGAATGATAATGGTTCTAGACTAACAAATTTAGCATCAGGAAAAGGTTTAATAATCAAGAGTACAATGCTCCCACGCAAAGATATATATAAATATACTTGGGTGTCTCCGGATGGGAGACACAAGAATCAGATTGATCATGTTCTGATTAACAACAGGTTCAAAAACAGTATAACTAATGTAAGGACATTAAAAGGAGCCGACGCAGACTCCGACCACTTTCTAGTAGGTATTTGGATAAGAGTTAAATTCAAGAAACAATACAGACACAAATTAAATACTATAGAGAGATACGATATTGAGAAATTAGAGGAAGTTAATATACAGAAAGACTATGGCAGAAAAATCTGCGAAACTCTCAAAGTACAGTAAATAACAAACACAGACGATGTGAATGATGTATGGATCAAAATTAGAAATACTGTACAACAGACTGCAAAAACAACAATAGGAATAAAGAAAAAGAGGAAAAAACCCTGGTTTAACCAAATATGTGAAGACGCAGTACAGAGGAGAAAGATAGCCCGGGAGGAATGGCTGAAGGACACTAACAATGAAGAGAGGACTGCAGATTTCAGTAGACGAAGGAAAGAAGCTCATAATATAATAAAATGCGAAAAAAGAAAATATATCCAAAACATTATGAAAGATGCTGAACAAGACTTTAGACTAAATAGAACCCGTGATATGTATAAGAGAATAAATGGCATAAAAGGAGATTTTAAAAAGAAAGAACGTTTTCTCAAAGATGATAATGGAATGTTAAAAACTACAGAAAAAGAAATAGCTGAGAAATAGAGAAAGTATTTCAATGGACTATTAAACTGTGAGGAACCGACCGAAAAGTTCCCCTTTAATATTGAGAACATAAATACACAAGAATGTTCGTACCCTACATTAGAGGAAATAAAAGAACAAGTGCATAGATTATAAAATCACTAATCCCCAGGGGAAGATTGTATTCAAGCGGAACTCTTAAAAAAGGGAGGAAAAGATGTTCTATGGTGGATCTGGAAAGTGATTAGTAAAGTATGGACAACAGAGAACTTCCAGATGATTGGAAAGTGGCAGTAGTATACCCAATTCACAAAAAAGGAGACAAACAAGATTGCAACAATTACCGAGGAATATCCTTGCTTAATGTAGTGTATAAAATATTCTCGAATTGTGTTTTAGACAGGATAAAAGAAAAAGCAGATCAAATAATAGGACACTATCAAGAAGGGTTTAGAACTGACAGATCCACGACGGACCAGATATTCATAATTAGGCAATTGTATCAAAAATCTTGGGAGTTTGATAAAGAGATTCACACGCTTTTTGTGGACTTTAAGAAAGCGTATGATAGTATCCATAGAGAGAGTCAATTGAATATCATGAAAGAATTTCATTTTCCATAAAAACTGGTCAATTTAGTATCTATCAGCATCATGGAGATCCTGATAAGGGTTCAGGTAGGAAATTTAGTAACTGACCCGACAACAGTGAACTCGGGGCTAAGACAAGGTGATTCGGTATCGCCGATTCTGTTCAACATGGTTTTGGAAAAGGTTATTAGAGAAATGAAGATTGGTCCTAACGAGGGTATTAGACTATAAGACATGTCGATAGGTCTATTTGCTTATGCTGACGATATAGTATTGATGGAAGAATCTCAGGATAGGTTGAAGATTTTATTCAGTAGACTGCATAAAGCAGCATCAAAAGTAGGACTATGTGTAAACGAAGAAAAAACGGAGTATATGTTTTTAAGTAGAAGGGGACTACCTTTTTGTCAGTCCATAAAAATAGATCAATATGAATTTAAAAGGGTAGAATAGTTCAAATACCTAGGTTCTATTTTGTCTGAAAAAAATAATGTATCAATCGAGGTAGCAGCAAGAATCCAAGCTGGGAATAAATGTTACTATGGACTGGTTAAGGTACTAAGCTCACGAGCAGTATCGAGCAGTAAGATTGAAAGAACAATTATATATGTCCTTAATATGCCCGGTTTTAGTGTATGGATCGGAAACATGGCCACTCAGAAAAATGGACGAGCAAAGATTCTTCATCCTGAAAGAAAAGTGTTGAAAAAAATATATGGCCCGGTCAAAGATGAAATAACTGGGGAGTGGAGACGAAAAAAGAACTTAGAGCTGGAAACATTATATAACAGTTCAGATATATTGGAGGTCATCAGAAGGAGAAGATTGCGGTGGGCTGGCCACGCTTGGAGTAGCCAAAATCCACTATTACATGCAGTGATTGAACAAAACCCTGTAGGTAAAAGACCTCTGGGAAGACTAAAAATGCGATGGGAAGACAATATAAAGAAGGACGTTGAACATTTAGGTGGTGCTTCCAATTGGAGAGATATGGCATTGGATAGAGTAGGATGGAAGCTTGGTTGTGAGACGAGATGGTCTTAAAGGCCCAATAAACCAAAAAAAAAGACATTTTAATATATAAAAATAATCTATAAGATATTTAATAACACACTGAAATAGATTAATTTTAATTTGAAAGAAGTTAAATTCAACAATAGCATGATTGATAATGATACATAATTAAATGCTTATACATAACAAGAATTTAGACAGAAATATTTTATATAATAAATATAGGGATATATATCCTGATCAAATAAATGATGGATAGTTTTGACTATCTTATTATCTTAATTATTAATTATTTTTGAATTGTTTTGTTAATTTTTTTAATTAGATACTTTATTTATACAAAATAAATAAATAATACAAGTTCAATAGTAAATTATATTAAGATAAAATAATCATATTAGTCTATCATATAATTTAGCAGTAATATCAATAATTATTTTATACATTACTTACCTCAACCATATTAGTACGTGTATTTTACACTTGTTTAATTTAATTATAAAATATGAACTTTTAACTTAAACCAAACGCTAATAAGATTCAAAGTCTTGGGAAAGTTTATTTTGGAAATAATCAATTGAAATGTATTACTTGTCAATCACATTTATGTGGAAAAATTACAAGCTGTGTGTTAGTGTAATTATGATAAGAATACGACCATTTTAACAGTTTGACCACTTTTGTTTTCATTAATTTTTCAAAAATTAGAACTGTAGCTACTGGGAGGATGTAAACATAATTTTTTTGGACTATGAGGTTTAGTCATTGGAACGTCTGAACTTTTTATGTATCAACAATGGAGTTAAGGAATTTTGGATATTTCATTGTTTTGTGAAATGTTTGGTGACTGTTATTGGTAAAGTAGTCAATTTAAAGTTAATAGTATCTAGTAAATTTAATTATTCTTAATTTGGTGTGCTGACTCATAGTTCTATTCCATGTGTGTTATTAACATAATGATAGATTAGTGGCTCGTAAGTTTTAGTTATAACATTCAATAAATTAGAAAATATTGAATATTTTTATTAATATGATTGAATTAGGATTCCTATTATTATATTATTATAGTTGTCCAAACATAATCTGGTTATTTGTTAATTAATTGTTGACTGGTCACTAGTTGTAATCAAATTCCGTCATATCTGGTCATTTGAACTTATGAGTGGTTTTTAACACGTAAATTAATCGATAAAATATGGAGGAAGATAAAATTAGCCCTGATACTTCTGATAAACGTAAAGTTGATGATGACAATGTTAATCCTAAACCTAATCCAAAACGAATCAAATTAGTTCGTCCTGTATTTACTCCTGTAGCTAAACCTACAGTTTCTCAGGCTGAAATAATCAAACCTGATACACTTCCAATAGAAGTATCTAAATCAAGCCATGTATCTGATCAAGTTTTAAATGTGATTGAAAAACCTAATGAACAGATAGCAGAAATTACTAAAACACCTATTGATCCAATTGAAATTGTAAAAAAAGTACTGCCTTTACCTATAGTTCCTGAAGAACAAGTTGATAATAGTTCTGATGCATTAGATATACAGAATATTTTTAGTGAAGAAACTAAAAAAGAATTAGAACATTTGAAAAAAAATATTTTTAAGATTGAAGATGATGGATCATCTTCAGAAAATGATAGTCAGCCAAAACGGCCTCGTTTGAAACGACCGACATTTGTTAAATCAGCTATTGAAAATAAAGTTGAAATTTCAGATACTAAACTGTTAGATAAAACAAACGAAATAGTTAAATTGGATTCAGTTAAATCTGTTAGTGAAGAAAATGTTAATAACATTGGTAATGTTTTAGATCAACAAATAGTTGCTGAAGACAATGTTGATAAAGTGGTAAAAAATATTATTAGTCATGCATTAGTGAATGATGTAGACCATAACAGTATTTTAACAGAAGACGAGTCTTATGCATCTGAAGTTGACAATTTATTAGAAGCTAAGTCTACTATAGTTGAAAATACTATTAAAGTTGTTGAGAATAAGTTAGATATACCTGAAAATATTGAAAAGATCATTGAAAACAAAACTACTACAGAAGAAAATGTTCACAAACTCACTAATAACTTTATTGAAAGTAAAAATGATAATCTTAAAATAAATCAAAATACTATTCAATTTGAAGTTCTTAAACAAGAAAATATTAATAATAAAGAAATGCCACATAAATTAGTTGAAAAGAAATCTATTGACACAGATAAGATTAATCAAATAGCCATTGAGAAAAATATTAAATCAGAGCCGATTGATGAGAATAAAGTTTTTAAAACAGAGATAAAAGATACAGCAGTGAAAAATGATGGAGAAAAAATGTATTTTAAGGAAAATGTTAGAGTAGTTTTAGAAAGATACATTGATAACAAGTGTAATAATAAATCACAAAATAAAATTAATTCTTCAAAATTAAGGCCTGAAAATAATAAAAATATTGTCGAAACCAACAATGAAAAATCCATTATGCAAGATTCTGTGACCAGAACAAATGAAGAAAACAATATAGAAAATGAAATTGAATATTCTAATATTGATCAAACAGATAGTACACAGGTTGGTAAAATGGTCGAAACTATTGAAGATAATAAAGTTAATGTTTTAGAGAATGAAAATAAAATTTTTATCATAAATACACAAAAAGATCTTGACATTTTATCTAAGCAAACATCAAGTATGAATGCAAAACAAAATAATGAAGAACATGAATCTCAAATATTTAAGTCTGATATTTTAAAAGCAGCTCTTATGTCTAGAAAATCTCCCGACTCGCTTGTAAATTCATCAGAAGGAATAGATCAATTTGATACAAATCCTACTTCATTAGAAACTCAAAAAACAGATGTCCTACCAACAATTGGCCAAGAAGATATTGTAAATAAAATAGAAGCTGAGATAAAACTAAATACAAAAGACAAGCCAACTAATATTAAAAAATCACAAAATAAAATACTTACTAATATGCCTGAGGCTAATATATCTAAAGAAACATTAATGTCTATTTGTTTAAATGACAACATAGCTGCTGTTAAACATGACGATCCTCCTAAGTGGGGATCAGCTAAAATGAATGAAGTAGAAAAATTCTTAAATGATTCTAATGTCACTATTACTCCTATTTGTAAATCTCAAGAAACACCAAAACTTGGTAAAATTACATTAAAATTACCTAAAGTTGGAAATCCAGAAATTAAAGAAACTACTGTTCGTCCTGATGTAAAATCTGAATTAATAAAAAAAATCACAAATAAACAAATTGCCATGGGTGATAGTCCGTTAAAGAATGCCCTAGCTCAATCTTCCAAATCGTTTGGTGATTTTGCTACTATTCGACCTGCACCTAAACCCAGTGCAGAGCAAATTGCACTTTTAGAACAACAAATTTTAAATACACCTAAAAAAAGAGGAAGGCCCTCAAAAGCTTTGGCACAGCAAAAACAGTTATTGTTACAGTACCAACAACTACAACAACAAAAAGTTCAAGAGGGTAGTGCTGAAGATGAAGCAGTTTTTCATGTACCATTATTTGATATGGAAGATATGAGTGGAGGAGCAGGGATGTTTGAATCGTTTGATGCATCAACTCCAAAGCGAGGAAAGGGTATTAGAGGGAAAGGTAGCCGAGGGCGCAGAGGACGAGGAGGAGGTCGTGGTCGTGGGCGGGAAGGATCAGATAGTGATACTACATCAAATAGCCGTCGTATGGATGATGAAATAGAGCCTTATCCAGAAGAAATGAATCAAGATGAAGAAACCAAACAAGTTGCAATGATAGAAGCTGAACGTCTTCGAAAAGAAGAAGAACGGGAAAGAAAAATGGAAGCAAGGAAAAAAAAATTGAAAGAACGAAATGATGCTTTAAAAGAAAAAAAACTGAAAAAAAAACAAAAAGCTGAAGAAAGAAGATTACAATGGCATGAAAAAAAAAGGCTAATGCAAGAAGAAAAAGCAAGAGCTGCTGAGATGAAAAAATCTCTTCCACCACCACAAAACTTCGATGATGAAACCAGAATGAGTGCTGATTGTAATAATAGTCGATCGCAAACACCTGCAAGGAACTTTTTAATTGGTATGTTTTAATTTTTAAATTAAGTTTATATGTTAATGTCCGTATATTTTTATAGGTGAAGATGATTTATCAATGAGCGGTACTACAAATGATAGTATGAGATTGAAGAAAGGAAGAATGGAAGTTATTGACTTAGAAAGGTAACATTAATGATAAATTAAACTTTAATTCTTTCATCAGTTGTAGTTCAACATTTTTAATGTAAATTATGTTTATTAGTAATAAAACTTTAACTGTTGATCAAATTGCCGAATATCAATGGCCATTGGAAGGTGGTGAATTGTATATGATCCAAGAACAAATATCAAATTTCCTAGGAGTTAAGTCATTTAAAAGGAAATACCCAGGATTAAAACGTCGCAATGTAGAAGCAGAAGAAAGGTCATTCCTCTGTGATAGTGGATTGGTCGCTGAATCTTTATGTGATCTCGGTATATTTTTATTAATTAAAATTGATTTTGACTTTATTTATATTAATTTGATTTTATTAAATAGGTTTAACTGTTCTATATAGTTCAGAAGTTTTAGACATAATGTACACAGATTTTCCTGAAAAATATGAAGAACTAAGAGAATATATGAGACTTAAACATGCTAAAGAATTGACAAATCGACAAAGAGGTATTATCAAAATAATTTCATTAATTATTTATTTTGAGTGTAACAAGGAATTATTAGTTTCACTATGATTTGTTTTTTTTTCACACCATTATTTTTATTTTTATTATTACATAATTTTGACCAGAAGAAATGATTAGATAATTTAAAGCAGTATAATTAAATTTTCTGCTATAGGATATTATGACTAATAGATGCATTTTTCAATATTTTAAAATAATTAAAAAAAATTTACCAAAATATACTATATACTGTAATTCAACAAATACATTTTATCTTGCTGTAACTCAAATAATAAATATTTATTTTCTAAATGCTAATATTACTATACTCCAAAGATAATCTAATTTTCATAAACAATTTACTTTAATTGTGTTATTTATAGATATTTTGTTTAACTTTTTTTTGTTTTGTAAAATATTTATCAAATAACTATGGTTCAAAAATCTTAAAAATTTAACACATATTTTCTCAAATATTTTTCTTACTAGTTTAAACAAATATGAAAAATTCTATTGAAATAAATTTTCATAGGTAGCATAAGAAAGTTAAATTTTGATAAAATCAGATATTTCAATAAGTTTAGTATATACATGGTGTTTCAAAAATCTTCATCCAATTACGAACTAATATAGTTCGGCAACGGTTAATCACAGGTTAATGACCGATGTATTAATGGAAAGATTAGATAACTAAGTTTATTTTAAGTTATCTAGTTGATAAATTTAGTACCGCAATGGTTAGTGAACTAGGAACCGTTAGTTTGTTTCATTATGACGACTCCGCAACAAAAAGCGTTTTGCGTCTTACGTTTCAATAAGTGAGAGTCGGCATTAACCATTCAACGTGATTTTCGAAGAACTTAGGGAACTGAAGCTCCTACTGCACAAAGCATTCGACGTTGGCACCAAACGTTCCAAGAAAGTGGTTGTCTGTGTGCACAGAAACACTCAGGTCGATCTCGTATCTCTGACGAAAACATCGAGCATGTTCGACTGTTTCGTTCGAAGTTCATCCCTGGCCTCCACGTTCCCTTGACCTCACTAAGTGTGATTTTTTTTTATGGGACTACATAAAAATAAAGTGTATGTACCACCATTACCTACAAACTTGGAAGAGTTTAAAATCAGAATCAAAGATGCTGTCAATGCCCCGACACTAGAAATTATCAGCAACATTTAGGAAGAATTTGATTACCCTATAGATGTATGTTGGGCGGCCGGTGGAGGTTATATTAAACATTTGTAACCAAAGTAAATAAAACTTGACTATTTTAAGAATATATTTTATTTTATTTCACCCTTATATCTTCATTTTTAATATAATTATAAATTTTTGAAATTGGATGAAGACTTTTGATACACTGTGTATAACATAAAATTAAAAAACTTTATGTTATATTTTTATTATTTTAAAAATATTAATGTTATTATATTGAAACATAATCTAGATACTTAAGCATTATATTCATATTATGATAACAGTTTTAATTATATCATTAAATTAATTAAATAAAAGCTCTAAGGTTATTTTTATTTTTATTAAAGTTGCTCTAATAAACCTAATTACTAATTTATAAGGCACTTAATTAGAATAGTAGTGCAAACTATCTTAAGAAAAAACTAATTCACTTGTTCTTTTTCATTCAGAATTTTCATTTTTAAAACCAATGGTGATTTAATTTTAAATACATTATAACAATTTACCTACCTATACTTATCACCTGTCCCTGTATCTCATTTAAGTTCTATATTTCATCGACTCCTGTATTTTCCCTTTTTCAATTAAATTTAAATTTAAAATGTTCTTTTTTTTTTTTTTAATCTTTACAGCATTAATGACAATTAGTTCAAATACTGATGGATCCAAGTTAGATTTACGTGAGAGAGCAATGGAAGCTGCTGCTAACTGGAATGCTAATTTAAATAAATCTCGTTTAGAGTTTCGCAAATGCTCAATGGATATGCAAACTTTTATAGTGCATTATCCAAAAACCAAATGCAAGAAAATGGCCATTCCTAAAAATAAGATTGGTAGTTATCCTTTGGCTTTATTACCAGGACAATTTTGTGATTACCACGCCACGTAAGAGTTAAATGTAACTAAACTACATTTTGTTTTGAACTTCTCAAAGTTACTTTGTAATTTTTAGATATTCTAGTGAAGATTTACGTTATTTGCCAATGAACACTGTTATGTATGGTCCATTAAAATCTGTGGACAAAGACTTTCCTGTTTCATTGAGTAGCCAATCTGAATCTGAAGATAGTTCCTCTGATGACTCTAGGTAAATTTAATCGCATGATTTGTGTTTATATTATAATATAATTAAAAATATTAAATGCATGATGAATATGTAAATAATCCAGGTTTAAAGTATACTATGGTGTAGGAATAATTAATTAATTGGTTATCATTTATTCATAAAAGGGAATTTACAAACTAACATTTTGTATCATAAGTGTTTATGTTTAAAATTAATTAATAGTGATAGTGACGATTCAATTGATGTTGACAACAAATTGGAAAAAAATGAATTGGAATTTGGCCCTAGTGATAAAAAAGGAGCAGAGTGTAAATTATGTTTGGGTACTGCTGAGAAAAATAAAAAAGGAACAGTAGAGCCATTAATTCATTGTTCTAAATGTTTGACTATATGTAAGAATATGTGAAATTATATTAAATTGCATACAAATTATGATATTAAAATGTTTGTTTGAAATGCAAGATCATCCAACATGTTTGGATATGACATTGGAGATGGTTCCTTACATTAAACGTTATAATTGGCAATGCAACGAATGTAAATCCTGTGCTCAGTGCAAAGAAGTAGCTGATGAAGATAAAATGTTGTTTTGTGATCTTTGTGATAGAGGGTGAATACTTTGTTTTTAAATATTACTTATATATCATTATAAATTATTATTAGTATTATTACTAATGTATATTTTGTATAGGTATCACATATATTGTGTAGGACTTCGTAGAGTACCGGAAGGTAGATGGCATTGTCAAGAATGCGCTATGTGTAATTCATGTGGTGTTTCTGATCCTGGACCAGGTGATTCAAAATGGTTTTATGAGGTATTTGTTAAAAACTAAATATATGTTTATATCATTATATTTTATCTAATTTAAAATGTAATATTTTATATTACATTTAAGATTTAAATGTTATAATATACATGTTTCAGTTCAAGAAAATTGAGAAAACTGGTGCAAAAGTCTATTGTCGTACATTATGTGCACCATGTTCCAGGTATATTATCTAATATCTACTGAAAGTTATTATGAATTTTCAATTATTGTGTTGATATTGTATTATAATATGTACATACATCAGTTTTGTTGTGGAAATAATCTATTAAAGTCATTAACACATTTTATATTTTAATACAAATTAAATACATTTTAACATATTGGAGCATTCTGGTTTGTTGGCCAGGTTATGGAAAAAAGGCCATTACTGCCCTAATTGCATGCGTTGCTATCCTATCAAAAACGTCGAGCGCATGACACAGTGTAACAGTTGTGATAGATACTTACACCCAGGTATATAATAACAGCTTATTGCCGTAAATTTTTTATTTATAATTATTTTTATAATTACACAATTGTTTGGACATTTAAACTTATTGTTGACCTGTGTGAAAATTAAATATTATATTTATATTAAATAAAGCATGTTTAAGTAAAATTAATTTTAAAAAGTCAACAAATATGAAAACATTTATAGAATGATTTAATTAAAAAAATGTTGATTAATATTAACTTGATTTTAAAAAATTTATTTTTAGTTTTAATATAATTAATTCTTGAATTATTTTATCTTATTAAGTTTTTAAAATTTAATACATAACTAAACATATAAGAATTAATGGTATTAAAGGAATTATGAGTTATTTAAAGTGAAATATTGAAAATAGTTATTAAAACTCCAATAAAATAATTTTATACAGATTTTCTTTAAAATTCATAATTTATTAAATGTATACTTAAATAGTACAAATATTGGAATATTTATATTTAAATTTGTGGTTATTATCATTAGTAATGTTTTTAAAAAATTTTTTATGATACTTAACGTAATTATTAATGATGTATGTCATAACTCAATTGAAGTAGTGTTACACTGCAACCAGTATTTTAAAAAAATCGCTTACTCTATATTTATTCAAAACAATTTAACAAATATGTATAATTTAGTCTTTTCAGTTTGCATTTAAAAAGGTTCATACAATTATTAGTTTAATTTAAAATAGATAATTAGTTAATTTGTTAATAATTCATTTTTTTTATTTTTATTAATTAAGTATAAATTATTTAAAATTGAGTAAACATTTTCTACAATTTTATTTAAATAAATTAGTTACTCGGGAAACTCAATAGTATTCAAGTTCTTCAGTTTTTAATTTAAATGTAATTTAAATGAGTATGGCAACTTTTTTTATTTTCTCATGATAGTTTTCAATTATATTATTATAAAGTATTAATTTAGTTTTATAAATTTTAAATTGTGCACAATATTATAATTTCATTTAAATATCTTAGAAAAACAAATTTTATATTTTAATTGTATATGTACTAAATATTAATGATGTATTTAATTGTTTTTCAAATTATTAATTATTACAATTTTCAATTATGTTAAAAATATTACTTATTATTCATTTTCAACTTTTATATTTTTAATCTGTAATTATTATTGAAAATATTCTAGTAATTTATTTAATTGATTATAAAATGCATTATATTATTGATGTAAGGGTTAGCATTTATTTTTATAGATTAAAACTATTGTAATAAATATTATACAAATATTATTTTTAATTATAGAAAAACATCAAAGTTTACTAGTAACACAAAAACTTTTCGTAGTCGTCTACAATTGTGTTATTTAAAGCTATTTATTGTATTTGTTTCAATGTTGTATTTATATTATTGTCGTTTAATTATGTATTTTGTTTTTTTCAGAATGTATCAGTGAAAATACTTCAAATACACAAATTGTAGCATGTACTATATGTGAAGAAAAAGCTGTTTCGAGATTGCTAACTACAGTACCTAGATCCTTAATTAAAGTCTGAATCAAATTATTAGACAATATATATTTTAAAAATATCATAAAAGAAAAAATATTTCTGGTTTGTTTCTTAATTTTTAGTTTTTTATAGTAGATGATTTAGTTATATTTTTAAATTTTAACATTAAAATAAAAATACTTAATTATTATATTGTAAAATTGTTTAGTATAAAAAGAGATACTTCCAAACTGTAAGACAGTGGTGTAAATTGTTTTAAATATTTAGTGTATAATAAATCCATTTACAATGATATTATTTGTGTATTAATTTTAAAGTTTTTTAAAGTATACATTGTACCTATGTTGTACTAGATTATTTTATTTTTTATTGGTTGCTTTATAGTCTTAAGATAATTTATGAATTTTTTTTTTTATTTTGAATTTGTGTCATGTGAATTAATATGAGTGTCTTTAAATAACAATTGTATTCTACAACTAAAATCATTTTTCACTATAAGTCATAGTTTATTAATTTAATTTAGATTTTTGTCAAATTATGTTACATAATTCTTGTTTAAGTTTATATTTATACATATATTCTTAGCAGTATTAATTATAAATCCTAAAATAAATTCCTCACTAAATTCTAATTTATGATTTTTACTTTATATTATAATTCCAACATTTTAATTTTTAGCTAAATATTTACTGTGTATTTAGTGCACTAAAAGCAAGTATAAGCTAATATTATACTATTATAGAATACCTTAGTTGTGTCAATGTAATAGAATATTAATATATAATTTAATTTAGTTTCTTAGTTTGGATAACTGGTTTATTTTAATTCCTCTAGATAGCATTATATGATTCAGATTCACAGACACTACCTTTTTGCACTAAATTTTCCTCTTTATTAATTCATATTTTTTTTCAAGTAAGGAAGTTATTTATTTTATATTTTCTTTCCATTTATTTTTGTTAATTATATATATTTATATATATTTATATAGAATTTCCAAGAGTGACACCCACCGCTTTTTTTGATCCATATTTCACACATGAACAACCCTGTTCACATATTGAAAAACTTGATTAATTTGTGTATGCACCAAAAGGAAAAAAAAATATGTATCCAAATGCACTTCCTTTAATAGAATTTAATCAAAAACTTGAATTGTCAGATTTTTTGATAAAAGGAATAAAAATAAATAATAATCTAAAATAAATTAAATATAATTATGTTATTAACTATGTTAGTATATCTTTAATTTTAGTAAATGGCACAACAAGGTGTAATAGGTATACAGTCGAGTCGTGATAACCAAAGTTGAAGGGAGATAAAAATTCACTTTGAGATATCTAATTTATAGGGGAAGAATTTTCTAGTAGAATTAAACAATTTGAGTTATCGCGACTTGATTGTATTATATATTTAACAATGGCGTATTATTAAATTTTTTGTAGGGAGGAGTGTTTAAAGTTTTTTTAAAAACATATGCGATTTCATAATATTATAAAAAATAAATATAAGGTATGAATTAATAGTTATATTATTCTATTACTATTATAAATACAAATAAAGAGTTATTTAAAACCACATGATATAAATTATTTATTTTTTTTCTCTATGCCTTTGTAGTAATTTTTTTCTTCTACTAGAGGGGGTTGAGACCCTGGAACTTTCCTTATAGAAAATACGCCACTAACTATTATAATAAATTACAAATTATTATTTTAATAGTTATTTTAGGTGATTTACACTTAAAAAAAGCATAGCCTCTACAGTGAGTAACACCTAAAAGTAGTTGAATACCCATAATTTTATACTAGGCAATTCAGCAATAAAAAATAAAATACATTTAAAAAAAAAAAAAAGCAAATACCACTCACTCATTGAATTTTTTTAGATCTTAAAAACGACAGGACGTATAAACTTAAAATTTGACATAACAGTCACTTCAATACTCTAGAGGTGCAATAAAAAGGTATTTTAAAAAATATTAACACCGACAGATGGTCCCATAATGCAAACCTGGATAACTCAACTTACAACTAACACTAGCATATTGATTAATTTGAAATTTTGTTTTATTTGTTTTATAATAAACAGTTACACCAAACTAGGCATTAAATAGTATGAGGTAATTATCAATTAATAACATTGTCAAAGCTAAGACTCCAGTGCGAAGTCAGGTAATTCAGTTAGAATTACTATAACCACTATCAAGAACAGGCAAACCAAAAAATTAGTTTATTTTTTATTACCAGATGGTTTAAAAACAAAAAATGTTATTTACTCTGAAGATTTTTAAAACAAATATTTGATAAAAGATCATATTACATGTACTTATGACACTACATGTTCTATTAAATTATAATAAGGGCGAGCCCACATTCGGAGATATGCTAGTTAAATAATATAATTAAAATAAATTTATACCTTTATTTTTTCAGAACATTTTTCAAATTTAAAAAATATGAGAATTATAATGATAAAATTAAAATGACAAGCTTATAACACTGGATTTCTAATAATTAATGAGGACTGAAAAAAAGAACATTCTTTAAAGATATTACTACTACTATTTAAATAAGTTAATTAATATCAGTGTAATTATATTTTTTTTAGAATTACATTTTTTATTCTTAACTATAAAAAATTTAAAATAGTTTTGAGAATTATGCTGATTTATGATGTAATAAATAGAATGGATTTTTGGATATTTTACATTTATTTTTTAAATTCAAGACTTATAATTTGAAACCATTTTGACCCAGAGATCAGTTTTATTACTCAGTAAAAAGATTATTAAAAGTTAAATAATTACACATATTTGAATCTATATTCATACATTTTTATTGGTCTACAATTATAAGTTCATCAATTCCCCAATCTTCATAGCTGTTGTCAGGCAAATATCTTCTGATTATAATAGGTATCTTACGTTTTTTCAATTCCTTCATTGCTATTTGTAATGGATCTGTTTCACCTTCAAGTTCTACCATAACAGGAGCACACATTGCTATCTGTAAAGCTCTAGTACCTAATACTCGAGCTCTTTCATACCTCAAACATAAAAAAACATTTTATATAAAGTTTAAATGTCTTATAATATACCATAAGTAGTTAATGTTTAAGAACTTACTTTGTCATATACTTTGTAGTAATACGTTTAGATTTTTGAACTTGACTTTGAGCTTCTTGAACAGGTAATATATCAATATTATCTTCATTTTCCTGTTACAGTTTTTATTAGAATATATACATTTTTGATTAATCAGATAATGGTTATTATTTAATATTTAAGAGATTCTTCAAAATATTAAACTACATATTTATTATGAACAAATTATGATAACATTAATTACTTCAGGTTGATCTAATTCATCTAAATCAGCATCATCTTCAACTTCATCAAAATCATCTGCCCCACCACTGAAATGAAAATAAATCATATGTTTACTTATAACTTAGAAAGTACTGACAAGACGTAAAATAATAAATTAAATGTAAATACAATTTATAAAGCTAAAAAATGTTTGGTAAATCAACTAGTATGCTATAATTTCATATCGTATAGATTTCTTACTAAATTAAGTTGACATTTACATAAAAGTATAATTATAACCGCAAATTACATTTGAAATTATTGGTTTACACAAGATGTATTATGTTTTAATACTTAGTCGACTGATATTCTTCATATTTGTCACTGGTAAGAATGCATTTTTAACAAAAGTACTGTTATTTAATATATTTACAAACATGCTAATATTAGTAAAAAAAAAATTAATATCAACTAAAATGTTTTATAAGAAATTATTTTGTAGAGATAAATATTATTAAAATTACTATTTAGCACTATTCCGAAATCAAGAGCCTTCTTAACGTGATAACTAAAATTAAGAAATATTATTAAAAAGACTCACTCGTCGTGATCGAATTCTTCATCAGCCATTACTTTCCGGTTGCTAGTAACTACTACGAAAGATCTGCAACGAAAAGTCAAATGATATCGATAATGTAAGTTGCATAAATTTGTGTACAATATAAAACTGTACCACGCTTTACAGATAAGGATAATAATTATTACTGTCTATATTTGTGTAGTATACGGACTTTTATTATCAACGCATTTTCCCATTGGTTCGCTTTTACACACTCACACACGCACACATATTGATAGACGCCACTGAGTGCCCGCCCCGAATGACATATCAAAAAACAAGCAGTGTTCATGAGACTTGAATTTTTGTTACGGACCAGTCTGTGGTATTGTTCTAATAACTGGATATAATACTTCTTCGAATATTTTTCTTGTGCCTAATATCCATTACGAATCGCTGACGTTAAGACCGTGAATAATTTGTAAATTAATTTGTAAATCGTCCGCTGCTCTTCCAAACCGTCTGCTGGTGAGTTTCTCGCTCGATATTCTGTCTTCCCTTGGCGGACCATGTCTTCAATTCTGTGTTTTTGCAGGACAATCAGTCACGAAGTTAACGTAAACGACGACATGTCTTCCTTTGACGAGATCAAAAATTTGTACCAGAATTTAAAAACCGAGTGGAATAAAAGGAAGCCCGATTTCAAGTTATGCAACAATATTTTGTTACAGATCAAGGTGAGAGTGCGATTGTTAAACGTTTTTTTTTTTGACAACTATCATTAATATTTACTAAAATACGATAATTTTTTTAAAATTTAATTATCATAAAATATTGGTAAATACTTTATTCGTTTTTTTAAATAAATTAATTTTTAAGGTTAGATTAAAATAATTGTGAGATCATAGATCATTTTTTCATTACTTATTTTTACTAAATCTATTTTACACATTTTAAAGTTGATAAATATTAAAACAAAAATATTTTTTCAAAGTATTTTGTATGATAGTATTTGATTACAAAATATGAAGTATTTTATATTGCATTTGATTTTTTTTTTCTATATGGAGTCGCAAAATATTAAAATATTTTAATTGTTTTTCATACATTTAAGTGAAAGGTAACTTGTTTTTTAGTAAATATATAAAAGGCTCCCTTACTTGTTATTTATATTCTAGAAGTAGTTTTATATATTTTTTATTTTGTTACGTTATTTGTTTTTTCTCAGCCTCCAATTTATTACGATTATATATATTATATATATTATTATTATTATTATTTATTATTATATACCTATGTATTAAAATAAAGATTAGTTATTATTTTAATTTTTATGAGTGCTTTAAAATTATTTTTTTCGGATTTAAAGTTATTTAAATTAAAGTATAAATTAACAGTTAAGTTTTATCTTAAAAATATAACGTTTTATTATATTTTGTAGGTTGGAATGACCAAACACACATTTTTACCAACTACTAATGTAGAAGCATCTCATAAAGAATATTTGATAGCAAGTAAGTTTAAACAAGAATTTGTAAGAACTAAAAAATTAGCTTTACAGTTTCATATTATGTGTTATAAAATGAAATTATTCAGTTTTATTAAAAAAATTATTGTAGATTAATATTAAAAATTGTTTTTAAATTTTTCTTTTGATTAAAAAAGTTAAGCCGACCATACACCACAAAGAAAAAATTTGGTTTTTATCATTAATGATTTGTTCATACACTAGTGTTAAAATGATGTCGTAATTCATTTTTGCTTTTCGCAGATTTATATTGTAATTTTGTAATTTATTTTTATTGAGGATAAAAATTAATAATTATTCAAATTTTTAAAAAAAATTTTTTTTTCTTTTTCAACCACCATTAATTAAATGTAAATTTTAGTTTAATGGTGAGTGCCATTTTAATAAAGAATATATAAACCATAGAGTGATTATTATAAAGTAATGGATTAAATAAACTGGTCGATTTTTATTGAAAAACAATAACACATAGATTCAAAACGCTAACCGTCATAACTGTTGTGTTTATAACCAAATAGTGTCAGAATTAAAACTATCATGTTTCATTGTATATTAACAGCCAAAATTAAAAAATTATTTCTTTAGAGTACTTTTTTTATTAAATTTTCTTCCTTAAAAGTATGCTTACAAGAATTTTAGACGCATATTTAGTAATTTAAAGTTAAATGGCAGAAATAGTAGCAATAAACCAACATATTTCATGCTTTGTTTAGAGTTAACAATAATAAAATTTTGTAAAATAATTCACAGGAGATATATTAGAAGTTGGTGTACAATGTAGTATTGCCATGCATGATATTCCATCATTTGAACGATACATGGCTCAGCTCAAGTGTTATTATTTGGACTACAGGTATTTATCATCGACAATATAAAAATTATGGATAATATACTCTAAAAATTAAGAATTGTTTATAAATAACTAATTAAAAAAAAAAAATTATAATCTTTGGCAAATGGTCTTAGCAGTTTCCTTTTGACTCCTTGTTTTTAATTTCCTTTGTTAAAGTTATTGTATTTATTTTTACTTATATTAATAATAACGTTTATATTTTAGTGAAAATAATACTATGTATACATTTTTTTTTTTTTTTAGGGACAAATTACCTGAATCTGCAAATCAATATCATTTATTAGGTTTGAACTTATTGTTTTTACTATCTCAAAACCGGGTAGCAGAGTTTCACACTGAATTAGAGCTACTCCCATATGACATTATTCAAACCAATACTTATATAAGGCATCCAGTTGCTTTAGAACAGTACTTAATGGAAGGCAGTTATAATAAAGTATTTCAATTTAACTTGATTAGTTATGAATATTTATCATGTATATATTGTATGCTTTAATTTTAATTTAATTTCTAGATATTTCAAGCTAAGAGTAATGTACCATCAGATACATATAATTTTTTTATGAATATATTGTCTAACACATTACGTAATGAGATTGCTGAGTGCTTACAAAAAGCATATAAAAAAGTATCAATTAATTCTGCAACAAAAATGTTAAATTTTAACAATACTAATGAAATGAATGATTTTGCTATTAAAGTGAGTTTTATTAATATTAATTATTTGTTTCTCAGTCTAAGTTAAATTGTTTATTTATGTTTAGAAAAAGTGGATTCTAGGTCAAGATGGATATTATGTATTCAACCTCGAAGAAGAGAAAAAAGCAGTAGAGCCAATACCGGCATTACAGATAGCTGATTTTGCTATTCATTATGCCAAAGAATTGGAAACTATTGTGTAAATTCAGTTCACTTAATTTTCAATTGATTAATTAAAACCATCAAAATTAATTGAAAATTTGTAATAAGCATCTAAATCTTAATGTTTAAAACATAAAATATGTTTGTATTTTTCATATGATTAATTTATAAATAATTACAAATTCATATTATTAATAACACAAGTATTTTGAAATAAATTAAATTTGTTTTCTAAGGAAGAAAACCCCTAGTTTTATTAATTGTGAATTATTGTTCTATCTCTTCTAATGACAGTGAAAAATATTATTTTTTTGTAAAATCATAATCTTTCCACATTTCTAGAAATTTTGTAGTTTTTTGCAATTGTTCTTCGATTGGTTCTTTTTGCCTTTTTCGCCATGTATTGTGATCCAAATCCATCATACCACCAATAATTTCCTATTGAAACAAAATATTAATAAATAAATGATATAATAATTATAGAGCTATTTTACCTCTGCAAAGTTATTTGGGAACATTTTTTCGTCTTCAATAACATGAGCATATCCACCTTGCATACCAAAATCAACAGCGAAATAAGGTAAACCTTTGGGAACTGCTCTACGTATATCTTTACTGCTTAAGTCTACAACCTTTTTATTTATCGCCCATTCAGTTTCGCATTCCAAGATAGCTTTTTTAAAATATATAGGAGCAGTATCACCAATTTCAATAGGTACAGGTACACAGTTCCAAACCATGTGAGGCATATTATGTAGACGCATTGCACTTTCGAAGAATACTACATCTTCATCTTGCTCTTTAAACATAGACGTTAATACTTTTCGAAATACCTTAAATATTTTTCAAATACACAGATTACTTATTTATTTATAACCATTGCAAAAAATATAAAATTTACCTGCATTTCGGTCCAAACATCTTCATCAATATCAGTTGCACACGCATAGTGGTATATAGGTACAATTAAACAATGTCCTTCAGTTAAAGATTTGTATGATGGTAAGCACAGATAACACTAAATCAATAAAAATTATAATAATAAAATATAAATAAAACTAATTACAGTACAGGGTTAGGTACCTTTTCTCCTTTAGCAATGAATAAATGTTTTAACATTTCTTCACTATCAAAGCAGTAACGACATGAGTTCAAAATTTTTTCTGTACGTTTATGTTCATCAATTGCACGTTTAATTTCTTTCTCAGAAACTTTGGCAGATCGTTTTTCTGATGCACGTTCTACAAATACATCATCTTCATCATCTCTAGAATTCACCTTCAAAAATGTATTACATTTAATTAAACAAGTATACATACTAAAATAAGTAATAAGTATCCTGAAAAGATATTAATGATAGCATAAAATATATAACAATAATTTTTTTAGATTTATGAACAATATTTATAAAAATACAAATAAACCTTATATAAATAAAAAAAATTAAATTAATATAAGTCAAATAAAAAAATTACTTTTCTTGACAATTTTACAAACTCCATATTACTATCTTCGGCTGTACTAGTCATTTCTTTTTCAAACTATAAATTATAAAATTATTAATAAATATAATTTCATTATTCTTATTTGCTATTATCCATTTACATTACATACCATTGATTTCAACGAATATTTGTCATCATCATCAAAGTATCTTACTCTTTTACCATCCTCATGTGTTAATACTTTTTCTCGTTTTTTCTTCCTACCATCATTTTTATCACCATGAGCTTGTTTAACAGGATAACTAAAACCCTTAGATGAAGTTCTGGTTAGCAATACAAATTCTTCTTTTTGTTTTATTTTATTTATTACATTATTTTTTAATGAAATACTTCTGGCTAAATCAAGCTTTTGTTTAAGTTCTTCAGCCAATTTCTATAAAATAAAATTAGAAACAAATTATTAAATAAGAAATTAAAAGATAAATTATATTATATTTTAAAATTATTTTCCATTCTTTTTGTAAATATTATTTTAAGAATTGAATAGTCTCATTCAATAAAATTGAAATATTTGATCTTTTAAGAGTAAACAAATTAATAAAATTAAAAATAATCTTAGTAATGGATATACATTCAATAACCGAATTCAATATTATAATAAATATACAACTTACAGTATTTCCTAACAGTTCAGCTTTAATTTGTTTAGCTGCAAGAGCATTTAATTCAGAATCAGTTAAAGGAGTATCAATACATTCTGTGTTTATTTTTTTTTCTATATGCTCATTAGGCTCTTCTATTTTATATTTTTTGTGAACAATTTCATTAGTTTCTTCATTGTCAGAGTCTTTATAATGTTTACTTTTACTTTCTCTTTTATAGTCATGTTCTTTAAATTGTTTATCTTTTACTTCTTTTTTTTTGTTTCCATAATCTTTGAAGTATTTATTTCTTTCAACTTCACTTCTATCATTAAAATGTTCTTTATAATGCTTGTTTTTATCTTCTTTTTTTTCATTGCTATGTTCTCTATGATGCTTTTCTCTTACTACTGTTTTTTGATCATATTCTCTATGTTGTCTATATCTTTCTTCATTATCTCGTTTTTCGTTACTATATTTACCATCATCTCTTCGGTCATGTTTTTTCCATGATTGGCGACCATAAATTGATTTTGAACTGTTCGAATGTTGTTGACTGTTACAATGATAGTCATCATCATCATCTATTTTAGGTTTGAGAAAACCTTTATGGTGACTTAATGGTTTAATTGGCGGAAGTCCACTACCTCCATTTTTCCAATAAGGATTTAGTTCTCGTTCTGATTGTCCAGGCTAAAAATAGTATCAAGTATTATAAAAGAAATATTAACCATGAAAAATATAACATACTTTTTCCATTCTAGCTTTAGCATCCTCTATATCCTTGTTTTTTGAGATAGTTTTTTTTTCAATTTCTGTAGATGTATTACATACAAAATCCATCCAGTTATCAGATTCTTCTTTTGGTTTGATAAATGCCTGTTTAGGCGAGGAAATTTTAATATTTTTCTCGATCCATTGATCATCACTTGATATTGAACTACTAGAGCTAGATGATGACGATCTATAAATCAACATAATAAGTGAATATTTGATAAAATCAATATTACAATTGCTAAAACTTACATATTTTTTTTTTTTGTTGCTCTTTTTCTTGTGCTCCTTTTTATGCGATTTTTTTCCCATCTTGAATATTATTGATCACTGGTATTTCGTTTTTAATTTCCAACTGCGAGCGTCTGTGTTCTTGTCGTTCAATGTCTTTAATAACACCTTGGTGTAATTTATTTAGATCGTCTTGTTGCTGGTAGTGAACAAATCCAATAATACCTGCTGTTACAATACACGAGAGACCAAATACTACTTTGGATGTCGTTGACATATTAAGTAAAAATATTAAAAAGTGGTTTTTTCGTTTTGGAGAAACTTGTTTGACTGTTGTAAAATTGTATGCATTGTAGATAGTATTAAATTTATAGAAGTATCGTTATCAGAAAGCCATCATTGATATCATATTATCAGATAAGTAATAAAAATGGAAATACAATAGATAAGACATTTACAATACAATATTTAAAAAAAATTTAACGTATAAAATAAAATTTTATTAAAATTAGTTTCGTTTTTAAATATTATTCAATATGAATTTCAAACTAAAATTATACAAAAATGCATTTTTTTCTGTTATTCATACTGAGCTATTATCTGCTGGAAAATTTTTGTATTTAATTATTGTATTTACAAAACTGAAAGTAGGTGCATAGCAATGCCCATAAAAGGCAATGTTCACCTGTTGTTTCATAACATTATAACCCACGATATTAATGTTTCTTGTTCAAAGTAAATAGTGTTTGAGTTGTAAGTAAGCATCAATAACAATGGCCATGCTGTCTTTGCGTATTCGTTTGGTGGACGATGGAGTGACGAAGACAATTCAATTTGACCCATCTACTTCTGTATTAGAAGCTTGTTGTCAAATCAGTGGAAAAACATCATCTGACCATCTATCGGAATATACTCTATTTTTGGCTGATGAAGATTCTAAAAAAGGTATATACCTTGAACCTACACGTAATTTTGAATATTACATACTAAGAAATGGAGATTTGCTTGAATATCGCAAGAAAATACGTCCACTCAAGGTTAGCACTCTTGATGGAACATTAAAAACATTAATGATAGATGATACTCAACCTGTCGCTAACCTTATGGCTGTAATTTGTGCTAAATTAGGTATAACTAATCATGATGAGTATAGTTTAGTACGCGAAGTCCCTGAAGGTGATGAAAATAATCTCAACATAGGAAATTCTATTAAAAGAGACATTAAAATGGAGCATTTGCGCAAAAAATTAAAGACTGATGAAGATACTAATTGGATTAATCCAGGAGCAAGTTTACGAGAACAAGGCATTGATGAAAAAGAAGGAGTCTTGTTAAAGCGCAAATTTTTCTTTTCTGATGGTAATATAGATACACATGATCCAATTCAATTAAATTTGCTATATGTAGAAACTAGGGATGCTATTTTAAAAGGTACTCATCCTGTAACGGAAAATCTTGCCATTCAATTAGCTGGTTTACAGACTCATATTCAATTTGGTAATCATGATGAAATCAAACATAAATCTCCATTATTGGATTTGAAAGAATTTCTGCCACAGTCATACATAAAAATTAAAGGTATTGAAAAAAAAATATTTAACGAACATAAAAAATATAATGGTTTACCTGAACTTGAAGCTAAAGTTTTGTATACTAGAACTGTTAGAGCTCTTCCAACATATGGAGTTACATTTTTTTTGGTTAAAGAGGAAATGAAAGGCAAAAATAAACTTGTACCAAGAATTCTTGGAGTTACCAAAGACTCTGTATTACGCTTGGATGAAAAAAGTAAAGAAATACTAAAAAATTGGCCTTTAACTAGTGTTAGGCGTTGGGGAGCTTCACCTCATACATTTACTTTAGATTTTGGTGATTACTCTGATCGTTATTATTCTGTAAAAACCACTGAAGCTGAGCAAATATTACAGTTAATATCTGGTTATATTGATATAATTTTGAAAAAAAAAGAAGCAAAGGATCATTTTGGAATTGATTCAAATGAATATTCCACTGTTATGGAAGATACAGTTAGTCCACTAAAAGCAATTGTGATAGAAAATAGTAATCAAAAAGTAAAAACTGAATCTGTAGCTAAACCTGCTGTACTTAGAGTTCCACAAGAACCTATATCTTATACGACTGGATACATTTCTGAAGAGCAGTATACTTCTATTGAAATTACCTGCACTGAAGCTATAATAGGAGTTATGGAAGATCTTGATTCTACTATGTTAGGAGGTAGCAATTTAGAGCTAGAAGTAAATGAACAAAAGTTTTCTGACTATCGTGAAAATATATTAAAGACTTCTAAAACATTAGTAGAGAATACTAAATCATTAGTTGCAGGGGTTGGAGTATCTAAAGAACAGCTGGATGAATCTTCTAAAAACACAGTGTCTACAGTATTGCAACTTGTAGAACTCGTGAAAGCCGGTGCATCTTCATTAGATGATCGTGAAGTTCAAATTACATTGATAAAAGCTGTAAAAGATGTTGCTAGTTCTCTCGGAGAACTTATTAAGGGATGTTATGATACTCCTTCTATGGACGAACTAAAACATAAAGCAAAAGTGTTGGTAACTAATGTTACTTCTTTGTTAAAAACAGTAAAATCTGTAGATGATGAACGCACCAAAAATACTCATGTAATGGAATCAGCAGTTGAAGCTATCGAAAGAGATTTACAAGAGAATAAATTTGTAACAAATAATGAAACAACTACAGTAGAAATTATTCAGTCTGCAAAATATATTGATGAAGTTACTAAAAGTATGTTGGACATTATTTACAGAGGAAAACCTAAAGATGTTATGAATGCTGTACAAGAAAGTCGCAAATCAGTTACCGAGTTATTAACTGCTTGTCAAGGAAAAAATTTAAATGAAAAAGTATTGGATGCTGGACGCCATGTTGCTGAAGAGTTTAAAACTTTCTTAACTACTGTTTTGGAAAATTCAAAAAGGCCTAGTAATACTACAAAACGAATCTTAGAAGATGTATCTCAACGATTGTCTTCAAAAGTACATTATTTAATTACAATTGTAGAACATATTGAAACAATAGAATATCATTTATTAGACTCAGCAACATCAATAGATACAGCAGTGAAAAAACTTGACAATATCCAACCTAGGCCTTATGAATTTAAAGTTGATGAGACTTGTTGGAAATCTGATGAAGTTATTTTAGAAGCGGTAAAGTCAATTGCAGCTGCTACATGTGCATTAGTTAAGACAGCTTCACTTGCACAGCATGAAATTGGAGTTGATGAAGGGGTAGATGGTTTAGTGTATGCAGCTAGAATGGTAGCTACAGCAACTCATAGTTTAGTAGAATGTGCCCATGAAATTATTGAAGGTTTATCAAGCGAAGACAAACTTATATCAGCTGCCAATCAAGTAGCTTCTTGCACAACACAACTTTTAGTTGCATGTAAAGTCAAAGCAGATCCAAATAGTGATGCTACAAAACGTCTTTTGGCTTCAGGTAATGATTTTCAATTACATTTTTCATTTTAGTTGATATTTGTATATATTTTTTATTTAGGTAATGTTGTGAAACGTGCTACTGAAAATGTAGTCCGTGCTGCTCGTCAAGCCATGAAAACAGATGAAATGAAAAATCTTATATTAAATGAGAAAATGGTTGGTGGTATGGCACAAGAAATAGATGCTAGGTCGGATGTATTAAGAATTGAAAGAGAATTGGAAGAAGCTAGAAAAAGATTAGTGGTCATCAGACAAGCCAAAAATAAGAGTGTTAATAGTTTTTAATTTAATATTATAAAATGTTCAAAATAACCCTACAAAATATTATCTAATTTATAAACTTGCCTTATAATAGTAAGTTTTCAAAATAATGCATTCCCTATGTTTAATTTTAAAATATTTCTCGATGGTTACACAACACATAACTGTTCTTAACTGTAATTCATATGTAGTAAAAATAAAATATTACGTGTATTTGAACCTGTATAAATTAAACATTAATTAGTTATTGCAATTTATCGTAATGCATACTTTCTAATTATATATATTTTACTAGAAATAACCAAGGCATAATTATTTATATTAAAATAATAGTTATAATGTTAAACATTTTTATTAATTCTTATATATTCTTATATATATATACATATAAATTAAAATTAACACTAAATTATAATCTACTTGCATATTTAATATTTATTAAATTTAAATCTTAAATGAATATGTAATGAGTATATATCTATATATTATTGCTAACAGTTAATTTTGTTTAATTTGTTTATTTTTTAATTTTTACTATATTAAAATTTATTTTTGAATTAACAATGTATGAACTATAAGTATATTTTTTTTAATTTTAACTTAAAAAAAATTAATGTAACCATTACTTTGAAATAAAATTCTCATTTGTTTTGTTTAAATCAATGTTCTCCAAACTTCTTATCTTTACCATCCACTTCCAAAAAAAAAAAAACCAACAGACGCCCCCTTAAAAAATATTGTCACAAAAGTATGCGATGAAAAATGAAATTTATTGTTTATAAATATATAATGTATAGATACAAATGAAAATAAATATCTCAATGAGATGGATGTGGTTGGTGTTTTATTAGAATTTGTTGATATTAGGTTCGATTTTCGTAAGCAGCATTCTTAAGTCCCCACGATTAGTTATTTGTAACTGTTGTATTTTTTTAGTCAGTAGATTGGTTATTGCACTAAATTCACGTTCAACCAAGTAGGATGATGGAAATGCGATCAAAAATGTACAACAGCCCAAAATCCAGGATAAAGTATAGGTATCTGCTTTTGTAGCCAGAATACTTGGTAACCTTCCTTGAACTTTAATTTTAATTCCTCGTTTGTAGTTATTTCTATCAATTCTTCTTATTTTGCAGAATCTATGGTTTCTGTATTTAAAAAATGGATGGATCTAAAACCCATTTAGGTATGTCAATTTTAAGAATACCACCGCTTTTTCGTTATGAAATGCCCCCCAATTAAGCTTGTAACTTTCATTGCCCCCCTGGATAGCTCTAGCATCCCCAAAGGGGCGATATTGCCCGCTTTGGGAAACACTGGTTTAAATGTTGATAGTCAATTTATAAAGATTAATTTGGGCTAATCAATTTAAAAAATTAGCTTGCCAAGTAATTGACGAATATTCCATTAAATCTTTAAGTTTTTAATTTCTTCTTAGTGTTACATCTCTTCTTCATTTTACAAGGAATTCAATATTGATCTTATTATGAATTTAGTAACAAAATAAACAAACACCTCTAGTTTCACTACAGACTGAATGAAATATACCTAGTTCATGTAGCTTCGGGTTTCTTACTCATCACAAAATCTTAGTAGTTGATATAAAAATAATCATGAGAATTATTTTAAATAGTTAAAATATAATAATAATAATTATTATTATAATAATAATTAATTTAATAAGAAAAAATAATAATTGATTCAAGGGAAAAAAATTTTGATTTATCACGTTAATGTGTATACATAAAATATATTTATAATGGAGGTTAGGTACCTTTATATTAATTATGATCATGTTTATTAAATTCATTATATTTTTCTATTTTCAGTTTTTTCAAACTATATTTTACTATTGTCTTTTTTTTTTTTAGTAAACTGTAATAACTTCTAAGTACTCGGGGATTTCGAATCACTGTTTTGGAGGAGGGAATCGAATAAGTTTACATAATTTATATCTTAAATCGTGGTGCAGAATAAATCTTGGAAAAATTCCAAAAACTTAAGAAAAGGAAACCCAATATCACAAATTTACTGTTTACACCACAACCTCTTTCATAGTTTCTTTTATAAAACACTAGTTAGTTTTTCCCAAGATGGTGTTATCTAAGTTATTTTATTATTTTATCTAAATCCAAAAATAAGCATAGATGATAACGTATACATTGTTTAGGGATTATTATCAAAACTGTACTTGGTGTATAAATGTGTATTGTAGACTGCAGTAGAAATTTAAATTAAGTATGGAAGTATAATTAATATTTCCATCTACTATTTATTAGTTACCTTACGTGTAATATATGTATAATAATTAATTTTAATGATAACATTTGTTTTTCCAGTTGGTTTGTAGTATTTATTTTTTATTTTTATACTGCAACTAATTTATACTGTTCCGATTTGAATATAAATCAAAAATTGCATATTCGTCGAGTAGCTATACTTAAAAATGGAAAAAAAAGTAAAGGTTACTAGTCACAAGAAGAATCTAGCTAAAATGCATAGCATGAAGCTAAATGATTGCAAAGTAGTGATATTGAAGCTGGTGGACGAATTACTTGATGGTTAAATAAAAAAATTATACTTCAAAATGTATGTGATAATTAATTTGTTTTACTGTTTAATAGCAACAAGTATGATGTCTAATTCCCCATCAATCAAAGAACAATGGTCCATACATTTGGTGATTGTCAATTTATTATCTAAAATAAATCAGTTAGAAGCAGAATTTGATTTGAAGCCTTTGTCTCAAAGAAATGATCAATCTATTGAGAAATTAACTAAATGGGCTACAAAAAACGGAGCCATTCTTAATGGGGTGGAAATTCATCAGTTTGAAAACTATTCATATGGTATGAAAGCCAACAAAAATATCATAGTTGGCGATAAGCTTGTGATAGTACCCCGATCCTTAATGATGACTGAAGAAAATATACCGTCTTCTCCTCTGTGTAAGAATCTGATGCTAAAATAATGAATTTTATTAACTATATATTTTTATCATATATTACCTATTATATTTATTTTTGTCTTCAATAATATTCAATATATTATATTGTATATTTATGTTTAGGGAAATTGCACTCTCAAGATATGATGTTGCGTAATATGCCAAATGTTGCTTTAGCTATATTTATTTTGGTTGAGTCTTTACGTAAAGATAAGAAGAGTTTTTGGCATTCATATTTAACTTCTTTACCATTGACATACTCAACACCGGTATATTTTGATGTGGCTGATATGGAAGCTTTGAAAGGATCACCTGCATTTGGTAGTGTTTTATTTTATGCTATGTAATATTTACAATTTGCTTAAATATTAGAATATGTATCTAATATAATCTGAATTGATAAACTAATTTTATTATTGTAGAAGCTGCTTTAAAGCTGAATAGAAATATAGCTCGACAATATGCATATTTCAAAAAACTATTTCAGGTAAAAATTGTTTTTTTGTTTTTCACAAATAGCTATTGTATTATGATACTCACAAGTATACATAGACTTTGCGAAATGTAGACAGTTATTAGGAATGAAACTATTGTTTCACTAATTGTTTATTATACATAAACAAATCATCATATTTTGTAAATTATCTACACATGCAGTTAATATTTTTAAATTGCTTTGCTATAAGATTTATAAATTTCATGAAAGTTAATAATTTATTATAAATACATTATTATTAAACATACTATCTTAAAAATATAAATTTTCACTATTAATAATGTTCTTATTATTTTAAAAGTATTTGTTCTGTGAAATAAAATTCTAATTCTTTAATAAATTTTTAAAGTATTCAAATAATGAACATAAATATAAAATCTTATTAATAACCTGTTCAATTTTTCTTTTATGTAATATTTAAATTTTTTATTGTAACCATATAAAATTAAAATTAGGGATGATCCCCTCAAAATCTAACTTTATTTTGATTTTTCTGTTATTAGTAAGGCAATGTGAAATAGTTAGCATAGTGAATATTAAATTAATAACCAACTTTTTATATATATTTTCAGTTGTCAAATGATCCAGCTAGTGTAATATTAAAGGATACATTTACTTATGAGTACTATAGGTAAGTTGAAATTTATTTTTAGTTATTGATTGGTTTGTTAAAATAATGTCAGTAGGTATACAATTTCTTAACTTTTTTTTTTTAAACTGGTTACTGTCAAATAATAAATATATTTACCAATGGGATAGTTTATATCTTTAGAATTCTCATTCAGTGTTGAGAAATCACAATATTTTTAAACAAATTTTATTTTATTGAGATCTAAGATTAACATTCAGCTTCAAAATGTTTTATTTTTTTTTTTTAGAAAATTTTATTTAGTGTTACATTTTTCAATAAACATTTGATTTATGTTTAACTAAATAAAATAATGAATTTATGCCTTTAAAATAAATTCCTAAGTTTTTATAAATGGTTTTAATTTTAAATAACTGAAAAGTACTTGATATGAATATGTTTTAATATTTACTGTAGGTATAATATTGAGATAATATACTTATATTGAGATCTTAAGCTGTGTTAAATTCCATTAAATATTTATGAGTTTATCAAATTCTTGGTAAAACATTTATATAGTATGTTTTTGCTAATTATTTGCAAAAATACTTTTTTTTTTTTTTTTAATTATGTTATGATTTTTTGATAAAATTATATTTTGCATTAAAAAGCTGATTTATGACAATCTTTAATTTTATGTCCTTATTGTATTCATGAATTAAATTTATATTTGTATAGACTATTTGATTTTCAGAAATTGTATTAGTACTTGAGAATACATTTTTAGTATTAAATATACATTTTTTGTGATAAAATATATATTAATTAATTTATCTAATAATGAATTATACAGAAATTAAAAATAGATTGGATGAAAGCAGGGCCTCCCGAAAGGGGTCTTGAGGTAGTGTCTCCCCCCTCTCCCCCCAATGAAAACACCAGTCTGCAGTCGGATTTGTTTCATTATAGCCTAGAAGGACCTAATTTTACTTACGGAAAACAAATATTACATATTACGTAATGCAGTGTATATACACAAATAAAATTTATATAATTACTTATTATACAATATAAAATATTATTATATGTATATGTAGTTAAATTGTCAATTTTAAGAACATGTGACATTGAAACATATATACATGTTAAAAATTAAAAATACGACTACGTATAATTAATCATACTACATACATTGAGTAAAAAATTGAAGTCGACATTTTTCATATTATTCACTCCCCCCCTTGATTTTCATTTTTGGGACGGCCCTGGATGAGAGGATGTTAGCCCTTGAAGGAAAGTCATTGAGAATTAGTAGAAATAAGAGTATATAGAGTATGACTTTAAAGGAAGATACCAAGAAGTTGAGTGTATGAGAAGATCAATGACAATAAGTAGTGATGTGAGGTGAAATCGAGAACTTCAAATATATAGGATGATTTATACAAAAGTACAGGGGTTTTTGGCATGGATGCAAAATATAGAATTAAGTGCGGTTGGATGAAATGGAGAGAAGCGTTGGGCGTTTTATGTGATAAGAGAATTCCAATAAGGCTGAAAAGTAAATTTTACAGGAGTATAGTTAGACCAACTATGTTATATAGTTCAGATTGTTTAGGGTTGACAGGAGAATAGAACAGAATATGAGTGCGGCGGAAATGAGAGTGCTTAGATGGATAAGTGGAGTGATAAGAGAAGATAGAATAAAGAACGAATATGTGAGAGGTAGTATTAGTGTATAATTGATAGAGGACAAGATGAGAGAAAATAGACAGAGATATTTTGGGCATGTGATGAATTGAGAGCAAACAAATGCAGTAAGAGTTTTTATGAAAATTAATGTTGAAGGGAAAAGAGGAAGACCAAAAAAGAGATTGTTGGATACGATTAAGAATGATATGAGGGCTGTTAGTGTATACGTAGTGGATGTGGAAAATCGTGACAGGTGGACAAAGGTGACCGACCCCAAACTGTTGGGAGAAAAGCAAAGGAGAAGAAAAATAAGAAAAATAATAATAAATAATACAATCATTTTTATTGAATAAAAACTTAATTATTATTTATTTTAAATTGCACATTTATTTTAGTAGTATTTTAAGTTTAACAATATAAAAAATAATTTAAATTTTGTTTAAAATTAAAACAATGTTCTTTACATACTGTCAGTCATAACGAAATGTTTTCCTTAGTGTCCTCCACAAATAATATTGACGGTTAGCATTTGTGTGAGCATCAATACGTCCTCCATATCCATCATAATATTGTTCTTGACAGTGTTTGTCCATTACAGGACTTGTACTTCGAGCGCTAGACCGTAGATCTGGATCATGAGGTAAATTATGTTGGCAGAATACTGATTTTTTTCTTAAAATTTGTTTCTTTTGCCTTATTCTGCATGAAATAAGCAATACAAAAAATCCTAGAATTGCTATTGCCAATATAGCAGCGCTGGCTATGATGGCTGATTTTACGGCTACTGGTAATTTTCTCATCTCAAAACGACGGTATACTAAATTATTATCTTCATCAATATCTTTATTTTGCTCTACATAATTCTGATATTTGTCTAAATGATTTGTGTCTTGAATGAATAATATTTGTGATGGAATAGTTGGTGTTATAATTGATTTTGGGGTAGTTTTTATTGTGAAATCAGGCATACTTTCAAAAAGACGTGGTTCTCTTTCAGAAGTTTCTAGAACTATTCGACTTTTTGGGGCTTTTGAAACAAATACAGTTGCTTCATTTTCTTTATTGTTTATATCTGCTGTTGTGTAAGTAGTCGTTGTCGGAAAACTAAATACTCTTTTTTCTTCGAATATTGTATCTAATTTAATTTTACCTATTTCTTCTTCTTGCTTGACTTTTTCTATATTTGCATTATTCAGATGGTCAATTTTTTTTGGTGATTTAAGAGTATTTACCTCTTCTGAGTTATAATTTTCTTCTTTTAAAATTTGAATTGGTGTCTTTGATTTAATGTCATCAATATCAATCTCGTGTTTAAGTTCTGACAAATGTTTGTATTTTTCTTGATTATCTTGTTTTTCTTGATTTATATTTGTTGATTGGGTTGATGTTTGAGTTATAACATTTTTGGTATTATCTAAAAATAATTTTGAATTGTTTATTTCTTCTGTTTTTTGGGTATCTTTGTTCTTTTGTGCTAAAAGTTTTGTTTCAATTAAATAGTTTGTAAAATTTTTAATATTTTCTGTAATCATTGGCTCATCGGAACTTAAGTTTATTGATTCTTCTTTTATGTCCATCAATTCTTGATGCCTTTGACTTGATCCTCGTTCTCTATGTTGAAGAAGTTCTTCTAAAGACATATTTCTTATATTCAATACATTAGATAATAATAAAGATCCAGTTTTAGTCTTTAATAAACTTAATATTTCGTCTTTGACTTTTGGTATGCTGTCTGATTTGAATTTAAATTCATTATTTGTATTATTTGAGGGTTCTCTCATTATTTTTGTTAGTGCTTCATCATTAAATTGATAATCTTCAGTGCTATTTATTGATTCTGTTGTAGGTGCGATTTCTGTTATTTTAAAACCTGGTGGAAGTAACGAAGAAGGTAATTCTTCTTTTATCACTACAACATTTGGCTTTAGAGTTGTTGTTTCTTCGGAAGTTATATTTTGTGGTTTTAAACGTCGTCTTATCACCGCAGATGTTGGTGGTAAATTACTATTTATTGGTCTTTTATGTAATACAACCATGTCGGCACGTGATGAATTTGATTTTTTTGATGGCTCAACAGTTCCAAGATCTCGATGATTAATATTACTATTGTCTTGAATAAGTTTTTGGGATGAAAATGTTGCTGTAATGCTAGTAGTTTTTGGTGTGGAAATCATTGTAGTTTTAATCGTTGTCGTCTTTGGGGCAGTAGTCGTTGTTGAAATCGCAGTACTTGTCGGTGTTGTTGAAACAATATTTGTGGTTTCTGTTATCCTAACTGGTTTCCATTTCCCTTCTTCTGTTGAGGTTATTGGTTCCCATTGCTTACCATCTTCATCATTAGTTTTATTTCCAACCCCAAAATAAGCTGGTCTGCGAATAAGTTTTCTCCGCGGTAAAATATTTTCTTCTGCACCTCCTTCAATTAAAGGCCTTCTTTGTATTGGTCGTCTTCTTCTTTTCATTGGGCGTCTTCTAATATATCCCTCTGCATAATCTGACTCTAGTGGTTCCTGATACAGTGCAGGATGGCTTATGTCTTCTTCATATGTATGTGTTGATGTCCTCGGACGTTTCCGTCGGCGACGTCGTTTTCGTCTTGGTTTTCTAACTGGAATTTCAGATTCGATTTCTAAAGGCATATCCGTTGGAAATGGCACTTGACTTTCAACTATTTCTGAAGAAGCTTCGTCAATATTTTCTTCAACCTCAAATTCATCATTTTCGCTATTTATTTGATCGGCATTGAGACCTTGCTGGTCTTGGCTCTAAAAGTTAGTAATTATTGTATAATTTTACATTTTTATTTATTGTTTATGACAATATAATAAAGCGCTTACATTAAGTATTTCTTGAGTAGAAGAATTAGAAAATTTAAGATCAGCATTTAATTCTTCTTCATTTTCAATACAGCAAGAAGTCGTGATTAGATGAAATATCAAAGTACAGTTTAAAAGAACCCAAATAATATTCTTCATTTTTCTGAAAAAAAAAAAAAAAAAAAATGTACACGATTAAAAATATCATGAACTATTGAAGTTTAATATAATTTATGCAGTTTTAAGTATTTTTATTAAATCTTTATGTACTAATTATCCATTGAGCGTATTTTTATATATTTAAATAGTTATTAAGTATAGGTTATTTCAAGTAACAATAACTTATAACTAGATAACGGATTTAAATGCTCTAAAACAGTGGTTTCCAACCGGTGTGCCGCGATAAATCTATAAATTGTTTTAAAAGTATGTGTTTACCAGCTTATTACTGATATTCGAGATGAAAACTGATCGAACTAATCGTAGATACATATAATATTATTTATTGTTAGTATGCCCGTCGCAGCCGTCTCGATCGATCGTTTGTATTAATACATTTTTCAATAAATAACCCTCTAATAAAGTAGACTATAAACAGTATATATAAAATATGGTTCATATAACATATGGATTAGTGTGCCGCGAAAACTTTGTTGGAGATGAAAATTGTGCCGCATTGTTGAAAATCACTGCTCTAAAAACAAGAAAATAAAAAATATAATTTATTGCACTCCTAACAGATTTTTTTTTAAAAAAAATGCACTTAAAAAGTGCTTTTAAAATTATTTTTAACATTGAAAACATTTGTTTTATGTACTATAATATAAATTCTTATTCTTATTAATTATTCGTCTTCTATCTTTTATCTTGAAAATGATTTCAAAAAATTGTACATAGAATTTAAATAGATACATTCGTTATACTTTGATCTTGTGTTACGTATGAATTCAATATATGAATATATGAATTTTAAATATATTTTTATCAAATTCTATCTATTCTTATATAAAATTGGCTTAAAAACATAAAAATGTCAAAAAATACTCTAAAAAGCAAAAATGTCTTGTAAATGTATAAAATTAACTTTGTGCTTGGAAAGTAATTTTTTGGACATTCAGAAAAAAATGCAAGTTGCATTCGAATCCGTTTCCTACTTTTAACTAATAACAATAAACAAATTATTTTTTAAACTATTATTACTTTAACTGTAAAATTACACTGTTTGAGCACCGATCAATATATGATTTTAGTGATCTTATGACTTTTAAATTAATTTGAATTATGCTCCAGTGATTATACGTCAAGTAACTTACAAAAATGATTGATGGTCAATTGAATAATAATTGCGAACTTGAATGAATACTTTCTCTGTTTAAATCGTGTGCATTCGAAAACCAAATAAAATGAAACTCATCCAGCTACTCAATGTTAGTTCATTGTCATCGTGTGTTTACCACGCGAGACATGTTTAAGGTTCATGGTACACTGAATTTTATCGTATCAAAATAATCATAATAATAACAACACGAAAAATAAATTGTTAAAAAAAAGTAGTTAGTGCGGTTTTTTTATATCCATTAGGTGTTGTGTGTTGACCAATCTCACTTGAAACATACTACTGATTTTATTAAATTGACTTCTAGATTTTCCGCAATTAATCTTTACAAATATGATGTAACAAAATTCAGAAGTGAAACTAATCTCTGTATGACCATCTCTAACAGCCATCAAAATAGTTGAGTTATAATAGATGTGATATTTGTCGTGTCTAAAGTTTTCACGGTGGATTAGAATCGGATTGAGAATTTATAAAAACGTCCATTATCTGTTAAAAATATTATATTATCCCAATATCATTGTGTGTTTTTCTTATTTTCATTTGTCCGTAGAAAATTTGAACGATTTGTAATTTCACTCGACATTCTAAACAATAATAATATTTACTATTCCTTTTGTCCTTATTTGGAAGTTATAACTTTGTATACTCGTATAATACTATAACTTATTTTATTCATAAAAGTATTACATTTGGAGGATTATATTAAGATTATATTAAGGTCTTAAAGATTATTTTTTTATATATTATACTTCTATAATTTCATATAATTTTGTAGATTTATTTATTATTATTAATTATATTATAAATTAAAATATTTATGTTATTTATGGATGTATATAGTTAGTTTCATCTGTTATAAATTCCTTTAAAAATCATTTGTAAATTAAGCAGGTAGTGAAAAATATTTATCTTTTTTTAATTGTACTAAAGCTATAGAAAAAAGATAATATTTTTCATTTTCAAAATAATTTATTGTACAGTAATTTTTCCCTTATTGATATATTAAATTATACATTTCGTGATGATAAGAATTTTCACCATTGAAGCGTGTCTTAACACATGTAATTTGTTATATAATGAATACTTAACTCATGAATGTTACGGTCGAAGTAAAATAAAACAATTTAAAAAGAAAAAACTCTGGATCACACGTGATAGGGAGATAATCCAGTTAAAAATTAAAATACAATGGATAGTAAAAACAGTGCAGAAAGAGAAAGTAATTGCGACTTGGTATTTAGAAGCAGATACAAAATTGAATACAGCACTCACACCAGGAAATGGTCCAATTCTTTTAATTGTGATTAAACGGGGCTATTGTTTTGTATTTTGTTGTTGTTGATAACAAACACACCTTTTACTGTATGAATGTGTTAATAAATTATTGGTTATTAAGTAATAGTATGCATGTTATATGTAACTCTACGTTTTGACGGCTGACACAAAATATTTTGGCATAAGTATATAATACTAAGATATGTAGAATAAAACGAACCATTGGCACTAAATGTGTATCAATAATATGCCAAATAAAGCATCCTGTAGAAAGTATTTCGTTTTCAAATTAAAAATTCATGTGTCATTTCGTTTACACGATACAACTAAATTATTATTCGTTTATAACATATCAAACGAATACTATTATAATAATATGAAATTAATTAATAAAAAAACACAGTATTTTAAGGATCAATGTAATTTTTAAGTCAATAGTATTATGGAGAATTATATTATATGTTCAACAAATAATATCACGAAATTGCCTATGCTATGAAAATATTTTAATTTATTTGATTTATTTCTTTTCGAGTAATTTAATATTTATTTAAGTAATATTTTTGTGTTGCTTATTGTTTTTAAAAATATGAAGAACGCCCTTTATGACCGTTCTACGTGTACACAAGACCAGTCAATTAGTTTAAGGCATGAATTATGTACTATCTGAATTCGTAGTATAAGGTTTATGGATATCAGTGAAGTTTTTTTTATATCTCATCATCAGGGCTCGAAAGTTGTAACACTGAAAATGTCATTTTTTTGCTCTTAAATATGCACTTAAAAACTCAAATTATAAATTTATTAGAAAAAAAATTAAACGTAATTTTACAAATGTTTGGGTTCATTGATGTCTGTACTGGTTGAATTATATATTTAACAAAAATGTTAAATTACTTGAATATATTGGTAAAAGTGTACTTATAATTAAATTATTTTATTTAATCAATTAATCAATATAATAACCATCAATTAATAACTGTATTTGGTCACTAACTATTAATACATCAAAATTGCCAACGAAACATAAAATAATTTTGGATGAGGTGTATTTATTTTCAATAATTCTAATCTTTTTAAAACTATAACTAATTATTATCAACAAAATGTGATTATTTCCTGTATTATGTGAAAATATACCTAAAAATAGCACTATAAACACTAAATTAGCAAAATAGCAATAAAACCCATAAATATGCAAAAAATAGCAAAACTAAATTTTGTGCATGATATCCGAGTGATTTGAAACATATTTGTATCTTACTTTGGATATTCTAGGATGAACTAAGAAAAATATGCATTTGCTAAAACTTCCGATCCCTGCTCATCACTAATCACAGAATAATTGATTTTTTTACTAATATTATGTTCTTATTAATATTGATTTGCACATTTTGTCTTGAAAAGAAAAAAGACCGACAGTTTAAAAACATTTTTGCATTTTTTTATTAATCATTACATTTTTTATAAAATATTAAATTAAACCACAATATGGCAGTATATTTATAAAACATGTATTATTATGCACAATATATTCTTTAACCTTAAAATATGCTTTTTATGCTCTAAAATTGTTCGTATATAAATTTATAGGAAAATGAATCGTCTAGAAAGCTTATTCAATAGAAGCTTTATATTCTCAGTAAGAATATGTAAAAACATAAAAATTCGGTCTCTACTTATAATTAATTTCTCAATTAATACAAACTTAAATTAATGAAAATGTACAGAATTTGTTTATAATTATAATATAACTATTTTTCATATTTTAAAATATTTAATATTCAACAATATTTGTCTATTATTCATTTTAAGGGTTTGATTCATGCAATTACTTCTTAGAATTCGCTTGAATTATGATGCTTTTAAAATAATTATAATAAAAATGATTTTCCGTTACTTTTTTAAATTATTTAAAATATTTTTGTTTACAATGTTATTTCAATAATAGTGAAATCAATTCTAATAAATAATAATCAATTATATGAAAATTATTACAATAATAATAAATAAATGATTAAAACAAAAATATATGTGAAAATAAATCAAAGCATTTGAAAAGGATCTTAGTCAAAATTTGTAAAATATGTAGGCATCTATTGAATATCTCTCAACAACTGTTATTATTTTTAAAAACAACCATTTTGGCGCACTTCAATATATCTTTAAAACGATTCCAAACCATACCTCTGAATTCCAATGTTTAAAGGTATTTCTTTTTTTCTTTTTTTTAGATTATTTAGATAATATTCCAACTTAATGCAAATTGTGTAATACGACTATTTAAGTCGTATTTATGAAACTTATTATGATGTTAGAATAGTATTATGTTAAAAAATTATTATTTTATTTTTGTGACCAACATCTGTTTAATTGTTATATTTCATATTCGAGAGAAAGCAAGAACTCATTCATTTCATTAAACTAAATACAACAGAGTCACGATATTAAAACAACAACTAGAGAACCGGATTAGTATTAATCGTCTACTTAAAACTACTTTCCTCCTTATTTAAAACATCTTCGAAACACTTAACCTATATAATAAA